ATCACTTCACAATATATATTAATACTTATATCAAATCATTATGTGCTACATCTAAAACTAATACAATGTTATATAGCAATTATATCCTAAAAAAAAAAAAGATTAACACTACAAAAATACCTTCTGGTCAGTACCAGAAACAGTAAGAACAGTTCTATATTCTCAGAAAATCTTCATTCTGTGGATCTAATTCTTATTATGTCAAGTCACCTGAATGTGAAGAGCAGACTCAGAAACCATGCACTAACATAAGGAAACGACAGGAACCCTTGCCAGAGTCAAGTCCACCCCTGAATATCTTCTTCCTTTGGAGCTCTTCAAAGCTGCCACATTTCAATTGATTCTTAACTTTTCAATTACTAATACTTAACTTTTGGAAGGGCATTTCTTGCTTCACTTGGTGTAGTCAATTGCAAAGTTTACCCCTGCAGATCCACACTGATATACAGAATTGCAGGTATGCCTATTTCTAACAGAGACATGCAGGCAAGTTCTTCAGAAAGCCTAGATGATGCAAAATTCACAAGCACTGCCACAACTATGAGTGCAGGAAGAAAACCCTGAAGATTTAAGAGCAATTTTACAATTCCAAAATAAGTACATAAAATAGCAACTGGTACTATTTAAAAAAACTAGAATGTTGTTTTTAAAATGCCTTTTTTAGAACTCCTATTAAACTAGACCCATTATGAAGAAAGTACTCTACAGTTAAAAGTTTTAGAAGTGATACACATTATATCCCAAACTTTGTTTGGTTGTGAAAACTTCTGTAACATCTTTCAACAGGATAATTTGTGAGGAGGTTTGACAGATTAGTAAACCTTATTTCAAATTCTATTCTTCATATTAATTAGCTTAAATAATATTAAATCAATACTTATGCTTAGAATTATAATATAAATAAGTTACAAAAACACCTAATTTGTTATATAAGAGACATAACTGGATAGACTGTGAGCACATCATATTCTGAAATCCTAGTATGGGAACAGCCGAGCTTATACTACACAAGTCAAAGTACATGGTAGCAGAAAATTCAAAATGGAATGATTTTGAAATCATTTTGAATGATCAGGATTCAACCTATTTTAGTGAAGGCACATATGATTGTCTGTATGTAAGTCAAGAGTCTCCTAACTGATAAAGGCTGCTCATCTTGCCCATCTCTAATCCTTTCTTCTTTAAAATGCTACCAGTTGTTTTTCAAAAAGAATTGATGGTAACGTTTCCCTACTTCAAAACCTTTCCATAGATCCCAAGAACTTCAAAATCGGAGAATTCAAAATTCTTAATGCTGCGAATTTGGTTTCAGTCTAACTTTCCAAATTCTTCTGCCACATCCACACAACCTGCCCAACTCTAGCTATACAAGGTAGTCATATCTGTTTAGTGCTTCTCTGCCTCTGGAATTGTCATTCCCCCTTCTCCTCTCCATTTGTTAAATTACTACTCATCTTTCAACACCCAACCCAAATGACTTTTCACATTAGCAATAACATACAAATTCACTTCATTCCACTCAAGAAAAGTCACTACTGTATTTAATTATAGAATAGCAACTTTTCCACCTATGAAGACATGAATACTACTGACTTTGATTAGTTTATTTGTAGAGAATATTCTAAAAATCACTTCTTTCTCCTAGATTCAGTTCTTAGATTCAATCCCTTACTTGCTTAACGAATACCAAATACATACTAGACACAGTCTTGATCTTATGTCTGGGCCCAACACCTGTTCTTCAGCTAGATGCATATGCAATAGGATGCATATGCAAGTGGAAGTTTTCCTCAAGTTCCAAAATTGTGCCTAAGGTCAAAAGCTGAGGATAATTAAATACCTCTTCTTGTAGTTTTAAGGAGCCAACAATAGCTAGCACCGGTTTCTCCTCTTAGGGCTTACTGAGAGTTCCACTTTCTTTAAACCAACACTGTCATCAATATTCTAACACCTTTCCTTCCATATATATCTAAAAAGGCTTTAAAAAAAAAGAGGCGTTATTGAACTTTGAGTGGAACATAATGCTTATGAAAGGAGGATATTCTCTCTCCTCTTATAGCAAAAAAGCAGTGTCATAACTGAATCAAAAAGGTAAGAACCCAAGTTTGAAGTCATCTTAAAGAAAGGCAGACTGGTATTTCATTCTCTGTTTGGGTGTCTGTATAGGCAAAAGACTTATTGATTTACAACTCTATAATATGCTTAGGGGAAAAGAGAAGTCGGGAGAGAGTGGGTGCAAAGTGTCACACAGGAAGGCAGGCAAGACTATCATCCACCTTCAGTTCTTAGGAACCAAGGGGTGTGAAAAATATAATCTTTTCCCCAGTGTGCCTGCAGGCTCTAGAACTGGCCATGGGAGGTAGATCTCACTGGGTAAGGCAAAAAAAAAAAAAAAAAAGCCACACATATCAGAGACACATGGTATGAAGGACATCAATCAGAAGATGTAGCCAAATCTTGCAAGGGATTGCCAATGCCTATGGAAATAGGATAGACTTCAGCTCACTGTCAGCACAGTCAGCACATCTTCATTTAGCCCGTCTACAATGAACTTCAATAGTAGTGCTGAAAAACCAAGAAGACTTGGCACATCATGTAGAATTCTGCCTCCCCTATCACTCCTCCTAGTTTCAACACCAGAGGGAAAAAGCAGCACAGGAAAGAGGGAAGGCAGACGTGTGTGAAATAAAGTTTTCAGACCCAGATTAAGGTCTATTCTACTCTGAGAAAAAGTGATAAGAGTACTGGATCAAGCCTGTGACTGATGCTATAATATGAAGAGAACTTAAGTCTTAAATAATACACTGCGACTAGAACATTTAAAAATTACAGAAAAAGTGATAAGACGTGTTAAGGTACTTGATACATCCAGTAGGAAAGGGGATTTTGATATGGCAGAGTTGGAAGGCAGTTACTAGATAAAAAGCAAAACTGATTTATATTTATATCCCAGCAAATTGAGATCTTCAACAAACTGGTTACACAAAGATGGGCAGTCTCTGAAATTAGTTTCCATATATACTGGTGTTCCATCTCTTCATTCTTTTGTTGCATGTGTGAAATTTTGGTATGAGCTCTACTATACTATTATTATTTAAGTCTAGAACCAATCCATCAACAGGCTCACTACTACTTGCAGCTCTGTCTAAAAAATACTAAGTAGATAAGAAGTCATACTTCTGCCTCTAGGAAGACAACAAAGTCACAGAGAAGAACGGGTAAGTAAGCATTTCTAATGATGGAGGATGATAAAAACAGTAATAGGTTTTTTAAGTAGTAAGGGAGGAGACTGATGAGAACACAGCTCATAGAGCAGAAATTTATTTGACACCTCATTGCTTTCAATGTTCACCTTTCAATAATCACACCAAAGAAGAAATCCACAAAGAGGTTTATCTGACAAACAGGTAAAACCAGAATATTATAAATGGACATTGTTCAAAACATGGTACAGAGGAAAGAAAAGATCCTAAAGAAAGAGAGTAAGAGAAAAGCACGTGAAGGCTGAACAGGAAGTGGGACCTGAACTGGGGCTGCACATGGAGGGTGGACAGGCATGGATGACAGACAGAGCAGAACAACTGCTGGATGCGTGAGAGACAATCATGTGAAGTGGCTGTGACACGTTACACAATTAATACATACCGAGACTGAACTGCGGGTAATGCTCATAAATCTAACTGCAATTAGTACAGGTTTCTGGATTAGGAAGGACATGAAAAGGAAAGCAGAAGGTTAGAATGTACATGTCATTGCCCCATTAAAGAGGTTTAATCTCTCAATGGAATGAATATATCCGTCTTCTGCAGCATCAGCAAAAAAGCACAGCTTGTCTACCTGCTTTGAAAAGTAGATTTACTGTAAAAAGTCTCTGCCTTTCTTCCTTGGATGGGTACTGCTAACTTGGGTGTCTAAGAACTGAGTCCTTAAAAATTCATACTACAAAAAGGGTTTCACTTTTAAATGGGGTTTCTGTTTTCATTTGCTGGGGAGAAAATTTAGAATGTGTTTTGTGATGAGCTTTATTGAATACCTTTACCGCCTAGAAAAATTGTGTTTATGTTTGTTTTTAGAGAACACCCTTCACTAACTTAATCAAGACATTTGTTGGGCACTTGTCCTGTGCCAGGCAGTTTAACAGTAAAGGAAGAAACAGTTACTTTAATGCTAATCTAAGGATAAAACTATGAAGTACAGTGGAAGTATTGCTGGGCCCCTGCAAAAGCATGGGCTTGATGATGGGGAAGCTTGCTTCCCTTTAGAGATTTACTGGGGATCTGAATGGGTGTTCACTAATACAATTTTGTTTTACAATTCAGGGGAAGGGTAGTAAATGGGCAATAATTAAACTTAAATGCAGCAGTAAGTTTCCAGTTACTTAGACCCTATTGATTATGGATCAATGTGAAATGGAGTTATTTACATCTAGGTCACTGGTTACAAAGGAAGATATTAAACAGAACAGTGGCCAAATGGAAGAAATAAATTATCATTTTTGTAAGGCTTTTCTTCAAAATCTAGCAAATATTTGATAACAGCAGATCCATAATGGGATTCTGTAACGTATGAACCACATTCTTATAAGTGATTAAGTTGTCTACATCCCCGAAGTAATGGCAGGACCACCAAAAGTGACACGGTTAAGGATGGGAACAGATGGTAGAAGGAAGTAGAGCCCAAAGTTAGGGTGGGTCAAGTTTTCATAGAAAGAACAGGAAAAGAAAACAGGGCAACTTATTAAACCACCAACATTTTATCCAAATACTTGATTTATAAAATTCTTCATATTTAGTTGAATATATTCTGCATATAAAACTAAAAAGAGGTAAAAGATCAAACATGAGGCATAACATCATACCCTGAGATAAGGTGATTTTTTTTTTCACTTGCTCCATGTGAAAAAGATTTGGAGAATAATTTCTCTCCACACATCATAATGTGCACTGAAAATCCAAGGAAGTCTCCCACTTTCCCCTGTGATTCTATGTCCTGCATCTTACCATTGATCTACGAATCAGTGATAGCCTGGTCTTTGCTTTATTCTCAGCAAATTCCAGGCTACTAATGTCTTTGAGACGAGCCTTATATTTATTCATTTGTTCCACAACAATAAGCTCCACACAGCTGAAACAAAAGGAAAGAGAGAAAACTGTTAAGAGCGGAAGTAAACCAAATACATTTGATCAGTCACAGACTACTTTTCAGCTAAGTGTGGTGGAAAGTTGAAGGATAAGAGAAAAATCAACATCCCTTAATTTATGAGCTCAGAGACGGGGTTTATAATGGTGGTTCACAACTTCAGCCGCACTTCAGTACCCATCTGAGGAACAGTTCTAAGTCCCGACACCTAGGTCATACCCCAGATCAATTCAATCAGACTCTCTGGGACTGGGACACAAGCCCCAGGCCTTTCTAGGGGAAAGCTCCTTCTGCAGGAAAGGTTAAGAATCAGCACTCTAGAAGGAAATCGGAGATCCATGAAAAAAAGGCCAAGGTGAAATACAGGAATACTGAAGTATTAAGACCAAAGAGATACAGAGCCACAAGACTACAGTTAGACTGGATTATAGGAAAACACAAAGTATATGTAATTTGGTAAAATGAGATTTTAAAATACATTTGGAAACTATAAACAAATCTAAGGAAAAGTCAAATTTAAAAAATAAGTGCTTTCAAAACAAATGATGCTTCCTACATAGAATCTAAAGGAATTTTTCATATTCAGCATAAAAAAGACCAATGGTGCCTAGCAATCTTATTAAAAACATATGAACTTAAGAAATCATTCACTAAGGGAATTCCCTGGTGGTCCAGTAGTTAGGACTTTGCACTTCCACTGCAGCATGGCTGTGTTCAATTCCTGGCCAGGGAACTAAGATTCTTGCAAGTTGAATGGTGCAGCCAAAATAAAAAAGAATAAATCATTCATTCTGTTTGACTCATAAGACTGTGGGGTATTGCAGAGGTGATAGTGACTGGCCTTACGTGGTAGTCTTACTGATGTCCTGCACACTTTGCAGTGGGTCGATGGTGTCAGGGCAGCGGAGAATGCAGGGTGCAAACACAATGGCCAAAGCATTAGCAGACATTCGATTAGTGTCTTCCTGTAGAGCAATCCTAAGGAATAAAAAACTCAAGTGAAACTGGGATAAAAAAGGAAAACTGCAGGGAGATAGAAGCGATGAGAGAAAGACAAATGACATCAGCTGCATAGGACTGGAAGGATATTATCAGTTGAGACACTGTGGAATTTTCCCAGAGCCATTCCCTTGCCTCTGGGAAGCGTAATTTCACTCTGTTCCTTCCCTGAAGTAACTGAGGTCAGCAGATAGCTGACCAAGGGAAATTTGTGACTCACTGTCCCAGGTCACCATTACTAGATGAACATGTCTAAAGAATGCAGAGTACAGACCTTAAGGCATTTTCAGACAGTAGTAAAAGATATTTACCCAAAGAGAAAGATAGCTTTCTTCCCCAATATCAACACTCAGGAGAACACAGACTGCCCCTGAAGTCTCTTTGGTCAGTCAATTCCTGAGCTCCATATGACCCCACCACCTCCTATGAATTAGGCTATGTCAGTAAGCACACATCTTCTCTAGTTCAAGAGTTAAGACATCTAGCTAGGCTACACAGTGCCCCCATAAGACTGAATGGTTACATGGCTCATTAGGGCAGAGAAGCACCTGCCACGCAGTCCAACTCCATGGAGAATTTCTCCTTCAAGGAATCATAATCACCTGTGCAAGTCATCGACTTTATTAATAACAAAAAAAATCAGTTTTTCATATGAAGGAACTCTTCATTTATTTAAAAATAATCCAAGAGAAAATGTTACGCATTCCTTTGTTTCTTGAAGTTACCTGACCAGATGAAAGATGAGGCGTTCCAGTGTATTGAGATGAGTTCGGGAGAGCTGGTCAATGACAGAGTATACACCACGGATTGTCTCTTTCCTCTCCTGAAGGCCTGAAAACAGTAAGAGCGGCAATTAAGACTGAATACCTTCTCTTATACACTACTTCTTCCTTCTGGACAGATACTGGGTACAGCTGACTTTTAAGAGTTTTAGCCACACCTGTATAGCAGAAGAAAACTCACGAGTTAACACTAACCTCCCTCTGCTTGAGTTCTGTACTCACTAAGCAGTCTCCTGAGTTTTAATTTAGATCCGAGTAACTCTTGCTCCGAGTAACAGCAAGGGGCAAGAGATACCCCAGTTTTTCATTTTGTGGCAAACCAATTCCCCATTAAAATTAATCAATTGCTATATAAGTTATCTGTTGTTGTTGTTCAGTCATTGAGTTGTGTCCAACTCTTTGCAACCCCATGAACTGCACCATGCCAGGCTTCCCTGTTATTCACTATCTCCTAAAGTTTGTTCAAACTCATGTCCATTGAGTTGGTGATGCTATCCAACCATCTCATCCTCTGCTGCCCTCCTCTCCTTTTGCTTTCAACCTAAGCTGTAAATCAGTCTTAAGGGAATTTGAGGAGCCATGCCTTGGGGCCTAAATGAATACTTCTAGATGGGCCTTCATCAAAATCCTACGTATCTGTAGCAATGAAAAACTAAACTAACATGTTAGGTATGGCACAGAATAGATAGCCAGCGTTACACTGAGTTCTTGCTTAGATTCACAATTTAATTTGTTTACAATCCTAGTCTTTCAACCTCTTTGTGAGAAGCAACTAAGTGACTTGCTCAGAAAGTTTTTAGGACACTGATATTTTAATGAGTCTCTAAGAAAGGCAACATTTGAATAGGTGAGAATTCAATGGCAGTTTTATATTGACTGTATTACTTTTGAATCTATATGAACTTAAGCCAACTGAGAGAATGGCTAAACAATCTAATATGAAGACAGCATTTCTTTCCCAAGTGTAGCCCTTCCCTGAACCCAGGAAACCTGTGCTTACCCATAGCTCGAAGAAATTCCTCATAGAGTTCAAAGGTCATGAGTGGATTGGGTAAATCACGAAGCCACTGTTTGAATACACTCGCAATGACATGTATGTTATAGTCATCGAGGTTTACATTCTCAGCATCTACTCAGAGATAAAGAGTAAGATAAGAAAGCCAAAATATGCAGAGGGTCAAATAATGCACTTTAGAAACTATAATGACCAAAAGATGCCTTTACATTCTCAAACTATTAATATCGTCTGCAATCTAATTCCATGCTTTGGAACAGTGTTCCTCTTGTGGTAAAGGTACAGCTTTTGTCTCTTTTTTGAACTGTTGTGGACTGATAGATGTGTAAAATAAAAGATCACATGTTTTCATGTCAAGGCACTATTAAACTGCTATCAAAGTTTCTAAATGCTTGCTCTCAATTTCTGTACTTCTCTTGCTGTAGCCTGGCCTGTGACCACCCTTTTAGTAGTGATGTTTTAGATGACCAATAGAAGAAAGGCCTAAAAGACATCTTCTACAAGTCAGACTGATTTTAAGTGATTCTTAGAGATCAAAGGACAGTGATAACTGAGCTTATGAAATGTGAAGAAAATCTTTACTGTGCTTCATTTAAAAACCCTCTAGGGTTATACATGAAATGACTAGGGTGATATAGGATGAATGGGGCCTTTGGGTAGACTCTTAGTCACATAGAGACAAGGGTTGCACCTATACGTGATTCAAAAAGATCTATTCCTGGGAATTCTTGGGACAGAGGAGCCTGGTGGGCTGCCGTCTATGGAGTCGCACAGAGTCGGACATGACTGAAGCGACTTAGCAGCTGCAGCAGCCAGTGGTTAGGACTCCATGCTTTCAGCCAAGGGCCCAGGTTCAATCCCTGCTCAGGGAATTAATATCCCACAAGCTGTGCAGTGCAGCAAAAAAAAAAAAAAAAAAAGTATCCCTTTTCAATAATGATAAAGAGCAGAAGTTGAACACAAAGCCAAAGTCAAACCCCTGCATACGTTCCAGAACTGAGGCTACAGCTCTACACAGACACATATTCAAACCGCTAATTATCAATTTAAATAACTATGTTGTCAATGTAGGAAGGCAAGAATATACACCAGAAAGACATCACTTGGAGTCAGAGTAACAGAGACTAACAGGCAACAGTTTAGATTATGGGTTAAATGCCAGCTTTGTCACTTATTGGTGGTAAGTCAGTGGGCAAGATCCTCGATAAGCCTCAATTTCTTCATCTGTAAACAGGGAAAATAATCACTGTTTGTGAACATCAGTACAAAGATTTGTTGTGAAGGTTAATACAAAAACATCAGCACATTGCCCTGCATCTTATCAATAGCTCATTATTTAATTTTTCTAAATGTAAGTTTTCTTCTTTGTAAATTAAAGATATGATCTTACCAGACTGCTAAAAAGATTGAGATCTGTCTGAAATATCTAATAATGCCTTGTACAAATGATACTCAATGTATAGTTTGCTGAATGGACCATAAAAAGAAAGCTACAAATGATTAAAAAAAAAAAAAAACAAGCACCACAGAAAATACTGCATTTTTCTGGCTTCAAGGAAAGGACCAACATGTAATAAAAACTAACAGCATAAGATGACCTACTTAAATAAGAGTATTTGGTCTTGATTTAGAGGGCACTATCTTACCTGTATCTAGACCTTGTCGAAGCTCCTTGATTTTATTAGTTGAACCAGACTTTCGATAAATACCTTCTGTGTACAGTCCATGCATTTCAATGTAGTTTATGAGCTTTTCCACCACCAAAGGAACAGTTCGGTCTTCACTGGTCAAACGGGATAATTCAACCCCAAATTGTCGAGAGGACAGCTCTGGATCATACTACATGGAAGATAATTTTTGACTGCAAATACATTCAAACACCTTCAAATATATTTATCCAATTCTTTAAAAGTAACTATTTTTTCTTTTCCTCAAGTTTTACAAGCAAAATTACGAGAGTTGGGAGGCAAGGGAATTCTTGTTAATGCTGAGAATATAAAGAAGTGAGAAGTTCATTTCAATCCTCTTCCACTTGGAATCGGCCCCCCACCCCACCCTCCCCACCCCGCCAAATAATTGGGAAGAATGAAGGCAGTGGCTACAGGTTACTGCTTCCCTTTCCTTAAAAAAAAATCTCTTCATGTAAAGATGGGCTGTGGGCAAAGGAGAAAGGGGAAAGATTCTGTATATTAAACATTTACCAGGTACCACTAGAAAATCTATTGATTTGATATGAATTAGAGTTGTCACTAATTTCTGAAGCATAAGGATGCTCTGGTGTTTATGTAAACTTTAGAGAAGTTAAACTGACTACTGATGTCACAGCTAAAGGCAGAGGCACACCGACTGGCCCAAGATTAGTGACCTTTTTTATTTACTTCAATAGTGTATTCTGATATTGTATTTCATTATTATTTTATGTGACTGGGAAAAAATGGCTTATCTTTAAGATTATTTGAAGTACTTCAAATAAAAGAAGAATGCCAGATATTATCTCTGAGCCTGGAAACTTTTCATGTAAATCTCCTTTTCGCCCTTTCCTTCTCCTGCCCCATGCTCCTTGCCGAGCCCAACACTGTATACCCCAGTCTCTCCTTCAACCTACAAGCAGTCTGTGCTGAGTTCTTTTAGTCAATCAATACACTCTTTCTTTTCATACAACTCCAATTTTTCTTTCTTTGACACTGTGAGACTGCAAAATAATCTACGTTTCTGTTAGCTTCTTAGCCTCTTGACCCGTGCAGCTTAAGAATTCAGAAAACACCTTAAAGGGAAAACCTCTGAGTTTCAGGCTCACTTCTCTATATGTTTGGATCATGGTCCCTCAAGTCTTGGCAATTCCAAACTCCAACTTTTGTCTCTATAACCTTATAAGATTTCTAAAAGCTTTTCTGGCTTTTCTGACTCTTAAGTGTGGCCCTCTGCCCAGAATCTAGATTTCCTGTCCTACAACAAAAACTGACAAATTCCTACTCAGAGGAAAACATCTCACACATATAGATTCACCAATCTGTAATTCTTTTCTCTGAAGGATCTAGGCCCCCAAATTCCAGTTTTCCTGGGAAGCTATCTAATGCTAGGCAACAGACTTTTTTCAGTTGTTCTCAGCATGAGTATTAGTCTACCACAAGGTACTCCATCTTAGCTGGAAGCAGATGTCTTACCTTCATTGTATATTTTAAACCCTGAGTCAAATTTCTCTCTGTACTTTGCCATGGTTTGTCTACTACTTTGGAACAGACGAAAACTATATACATGGACTATAAACATGCTCACACATTTTATTATAATTCAGATCTGCATAGTATTGTTAAAATTGTATGTGACAAATAAGCAAATGTGATTACATGTCAATAAAAGCCTGAAATATTTCCAAAATGGTTGCTTTGTTGAAGCATAAAGTTAACAGAGTACAAGTTCAGTATCGAATCCAAGTAGAAGTTTGTAAACACACCAACTATGCTGACGAATTTTACTGTGAATTTTACTGTATGTTAAACTCTAACTGGAGCCTACCACTTTCAAGACAATTTATAGGAACACTTATGAGTGTTTAAAGTAGGAAACCTTAGAACTTCCCTGGCAGTCCAGTGGTTAAAACTGAACACTTCCAATGCAGGAGAGCGGGTTCAGTCCCTGGTCAGGGAACTAAGATCCCACATACCACATAACGTGGCCAAAAATTTTTTTAAAGAAAAAAAAAAAAAGCAGGAAACCGTTAAAAAGAGTGCTTTAATAAGTTGACGGTTATGAAATCAGTTTAGCAGCTCCCATGTAGTGAAGGTAAATACAGTTCTGGGAAAATCAATTCAGTTATATATACACACATACCTCTATATGTGTAAGCTGGATTATGATATAAAACTTATTTCTTACAGTATTTGTAGCCAAAAAGTTTGAAAACCACTACTCTATAAGATCATCAAAGAGGCTTTGATTTCTTTCCACAAGGCACAAAAGACCTTTTCTGTCCTTTCCTGCTCCTGCACCATTCTCCAACAGACCTGTTATTTATTACTCGTAGGTAATAACTTCTTACCTTTTTAGAACACTTGGCTGTGGTTTTCAGACAGCACTTCTTATGACAAGCATACTTGCACACTGAAAAACAGGTTAAAAATGTGACATTTTCAGAAGTCTATATATTAGTGGCAAAACTTAACAAGTTTACTGCTTTATTTTGAACATACATTTTTTTCTTTAAATCTGAGATTCCTATAGCATCATATATTTTGTATCATAATAGAATAAAAAATGGTCTTAAGTCATTCAATTCAGAAAAATGAAGCTGAAAAACATACCTAAAAATCCTAATCACTGTCTGGGAAAAAGCTTTTTATTCTTTCAAGATTGCTTGCCCCTCCTCCTTGTCCCCACCATATCCCAGCAAAATATTTATGCATCTTCTTGGTTTGATTCACAAACCAATGCTCATGTTCCCCTCTTATACTTGCTCTATGATCTGATAAAATGCAAGCAATACCTATTAAGAAACATTCCAATGGATAAGAAAAGCATTAATATCAAAGACCTGTACTAAAATAAAAGCAAATCTGGTAGCATATTAGGCTGTAAGAAAGGCCTTATTTACTCTCTTAGAAAGTCCAGAGTAGAGCTCTGAGGAACCAGAATACAAAGAACATCAGTACAGTGACTGAGAAGATGAGATCAAAGGTTCAGAGCAGAAATCAGCTCTTGGACCAGGAGATGACAGGGTGGCCGGGCAGCAGCAGGTGGGAAGGGCACACCGAGAGAACACTGAGAAAACACGCGGCCTCTGTTCTTCTCGTATACCAGCTCTGGCTCTTGCAAATCAACGCCCGAACACTGATCCTGAGCTTGAAGCGCGGTCTGAGGGGCTCTGAGAGCCAAGGCCAAGCAGGGAGGCCGCGGAGCGGCGGGCTGAAAGCGCCAGCACGGCCGCACAGAAGCTGGTTCTACTGAGAGAGCGAAGCAGGCCCGCCCACGCCGTGAAAGGAGGCAGACTCGTTACCTCTTCCAGTTTCAGATCACAGAGAGCCTTATGTGAAACCTACAGGAATCAGGCTAACATTGAACACTCAAGTGCATGGCAAACCACACCCTATTTTACTCTCACTAGAGTTTTTTTTTAAAGGAAAACCACTATTGAATCATTGAACAAGTGAACATATCTAGCAATATCCAAGTGTTGATTTTGCTATGATGAACATGATTTTCATCCTTACTGTCATCCTGGACCCAGACCTTTCATTCAATTCTGGCCCACCAGTAAACAAAGCTTCACAGAATTATTAAAAGCACCAGAGCAGATGTATATGGAATGACAGGAGTGAAACCTAAAGATTCTCTGTAAGCCAGAACCAAGTGGACCCTCAAAAAAACCTCCACTCACATTCTAGGATTTAAAGGTTCTGATGAAAGGATTATAGTAAAATAAAGTATCTTTCTAGTTATAATCTAAGAATTTGTTCAATAATTCATCCATCCATCCATATAGGTCCAACTACCTGGTAAATATTTAATAAAACTTATAATGTGCCAAAACTGTTCGAGGCCCTGGTGATACAGAAGAGACTTCTGTATGAGACAGTTTCTTGATCTTGACATTCAATTTTTGACATTCTAGTGGGACAGAGAAACAAGGAAATGAATACTTAAGTGTCATGTTGGGTGGTGGTAAGTAGGTCTCCTGCATTGCAGAGAGGTTCTTTACCATCTGCACCACCAGGGATGCACCAAGTAGTATAAAGACTAGAAAAGCTGAGTAAAGGGATGGAGAACTAGGGGACAGAGCAGCATTTTAGATAGGAGAGTAAGAAAAAGCTCTCTAATATACGAGTGGAGACATGAATTAACTGAAGTAGTAAGTCATACTAACATCTAGGATAAGAACATTTCAGACAGTGAGCTGCAAATACAATGACCAAAGAACATCAAAATATCTTATTTGCCTACAAAGAGCAGGTGAAAAGGAGTATAATGAGAGACGAGTTTAAAGAATTAGGGAGTGTGAATTATTCCTTAATGTTAAACTCATGGAAATATCAAGTGGTTAAAAACATTCCTCAAAGATATCTCATACTTACATTTGCAAACAGAGGCTCGGTCCATTATCCATATCAAAGAAGAACAGTATTCACAGTAGGTAGGGATGCTATACTGGGTGGCCTTAAAGATGTGACCATTGTGCTCTTCTACCTGAATGAAAAAATGCAGCTTTTTATGTCAAATCCAACACAGTAAATGCTGCCCTAACATGTCAGGCAATAGGAAATCCTTCAATTCCTTGTTGTCTTCATTGGGCACTTATTCCAGGAGGAGAATTGTGATCTTCTGAGAAATAAAGGTAAACTATATGATCCCTGCTTTCAAAAAGCTAACAATCTAGTAGAGAGACAAGACCAACTTATATGAAAATCAGAAAACAATGCTATAAACATATAAGAGCTGTCTTATACAACTCTGAATCAGCATGTTAAATTAAAAGCAGTGGTTTTAAAATTTTCAACCTCAAGAACCTTTCACACTTTTCTGTTTATTTATCACAATTCCTCTTCAATAAAGAGCCATTACATGTCAGTATGAACAAGTTGATATATCCACTGGATAAATTCCTAGATGCAGAACTGCTGGGTCAAAGTTTTTTTGGTTTTGTTTTTAATATTTTTAAGGCTTTTAATATACCATCATTAAAGCACCTTCTCCAAGAAAGTTATGCAAATAAATCCCCTATTTGCAGTACTAGAAAAATATCTATATATTTATTTATCTTTCCAGGTAACTAATTTATTTTTAGTTTTGCTCATAGATGGACAAAGTAGAAAAATCACTGTTGTTTAACTTGAATGCTCTTAAGTATAAACATCTATTTATATATTTATTAATATTTCCTTCTATTACCTGCACTTATCACAGGCTCTGCAATATAACAGCTGTTGAATTAATGAATTTTCTTTTTTATTTTTAAATGTCATACGCTTTTACTCATTTCTGTCTTCAGGCATTGTTCTCTCCCATACAGACATGAAAAAGACTACTCTTATAAGGCTTAAAATGCATAAAAGGCCTAAACATTACCTGTTAATAACAGGTACCTTCCTACTATTCCTCTGCCTTGCCTACCCTTTCCTTCATATACAATCTCAAAAATTCTCAGTGGTAGGTGGCATTACTGCTGTTTTATATAATATATATTCCTATTATATACATGAGGACATTGAGTCTCAAAAGGATTAAGTTGTCTAAGGTTTCTCGATTGGAAAACCCTCCATCGGTGAATAAGAATAAGCCAGGCTAAAGGGTTTAGATACCCTACTTTCAGGAATCAGTTCTTAAGAAGTAAGATCATGCTAAAAACAGAATCAGATCATGCGTCTAAAACACATAGTGGAAAAGTGACAAGAAATGATCTAAAGAACCTCAGAATTTGGTTTACAAGTGATAGGGAAAGATTTATAATCCTGATTTATTAATAAGGTTAACAATAAATATTCTAGGATTAGAATCTGCCATTGGCAGGGGTGAATCCAGGTTCTGTAGGTCCTAAAGCTTACCATTTTCAGGGGAAAGTGAAGAAGTTAGGAGGAGGAAGGGAAACAACCAGAGAAGGAAGAGAAGATGGTGGCAGCAAATGTAGCTGAAGCAGAGGGAGTGGGGGAGGAGTGGGAGGAAATGAAGCTTATAGAAGTCACGATCAAGATGATGTCAAGTCTTACAGACGGTAAGAACTCTGGGTTTTATTCTGAGTAACACTGGAAGTTACTTGTGAGATCTGAGTAGAGGAGGAACATGACCTGATTTCTGCTTTTAAATGGTCATTAGGGCTATTATTTAGAAAACTGTAAGGGGAGAAGAATATAACAAGGCAGACCAATTAGGACACAACACATAGTGTACTGGACTTCCCTGTCGCTCAGATGGTAAAGAATCTGCCTGCAATGCGGGAGACCTGGGTTCTATAACCTGGAGAAGGGAATGGCAATCCATTTCAGTATTCTTGCCTGGAGAATTCCATGGACAGAAGAGCCTGGCAGGTTATAGTCCATGGGATTGCAAAGAGTTGGACACGACTGAGCGACTAACATTTTCACTTTCACATAGTGTATTAGACAATTGTAATAGCAGTGGAGGCAATGTGAAATGGTCAAATATTAGATATATTTTGAAGGCAGAGTACCTACCAGAGTTCTACCTTCTTTTCTAGCTCCCCTTTTCTAACATGCAATACTCAAACCTGTTAAAGCTACTGGCTCAACATGCCAGGTTTTTCATTCACCAGTCTTTGGACATACTCTTTTCCTTTGGCTAGACACTGCCTGTCTAAACTACTACCTACTTGTTAAGAACCTGCAAAAATATCTTTTCTTCTGTAAAGTATTCCTTCATTCTCTTTGTATTTCAACAGCACTTTGTACTATTTCTATCATAATATTTATCACATATGAAACTAGTAATTTTTTAAATGCCTGCCTTCACTAGCAGATTCAGAGCTCCTCTGGGGCTTAACACATCCTTCTAATTACAGAGATTATGGTAAAGTATGCAATAGAGACAATACAAAAGATAAGAACATGAACAATGAGATAAAATACACTCAAATGCTTTTGGGAATGTCTTTTGATTTAGAAGGACTTATCTTTGTAAAATCCTAAATAGTCTTCATATTCTTTACAACAGAGAGAGAGCTCCTAAAAAAGCGCCTTCCCAGTCCCTACTTCTGCAAAAGGGTCATATCTGTTTGTAACTTTCATGAGTAAACATTTTAGTTTTCTGCCATTTTAGGAAGCCATCACTAATAACAAGTCAAGTCAAGGAATTCAAGACATATTTGTCATTCTAAATTTTTGTAAAGGCATAAATGATTACCCCCTAGACATCTGATAAACTTATTCCTTAAATATACCCAGAAAAATACTGTATGATATACTTCAGACTGCTAGTCTAAAACTTACTTTATAATACAGGGGGAAAAACAGATTACAACTTACTAAATCAGATTCTTTTTTCCTTCTTTTCTTTCTCTCTGTTTTTGGCACCTGGTGGGAAAGAAATACAGGAACTGTGATATAATAAAGACTAATATACTTTCTTCTTTCCTAAAACCTAATTCAAGGAGAAATTTGTGGGTCCTTACATAAAACTCACGAGATGATACAATGAAATGATGAAAACCACTGTTTTCCAAAATGAAATTCATTTACTGACCTCTAGCAAAGCTGAGGGTATAATCTTACAGCAATGGCATTCTTAACAACATTATATTTTAATTCAGTGAAAAATGTATTAATTGAAGAAGGCTTAGATAATACAGTCTGGTCAACTTGTAAGAGAGAGAATGGAGTTTGCTGGATCTGAAGTAGTGCAAAGCTGACATGTTCACTGCAGTGCTTTTCTCAAATACTAGATATCCTAGACTCTTAAGAAGAATTCATAATTTAATTCTTTTAGAAATCAAAATATATTTTACCTTTGTGGGTATATATTCCAAAGTCTTGAATTCATTCATATATTCATCTAAAAACACTTTAAAAGTGTTAACCCAAACTCTGACTGGAGACTCACTCCAATCTCGCTGCTCAAGTCTCATGGTCTTTTCCAAAATCTGTTCAAATAGTGCGTAGAGGTCTTTATATCGTATGCTTTTCCCATCATCTACCTAATAAACAATAAGAAAAATAAGCCATTTTAAGAAGAAATTCTTTATATAGAGAAGACTGATTAAATTTTCATTGGGTAGTATTTTGAATAAAAATTATACTTTCTAATGGGCATGCCCAAGAGGTCATGTGGTATTTGTAAACTCCCACTCTGCTATGGAATGTCTGCAGAGTAAAACCTGCTACATTTTAGTAAAATACCCAATAGTTTAAACAACATAATAATTGAAGAAAGTCTTGGGAATTTCTCCCATAAATATGGCTTTTTAACTATATTTAGGTATGAAGATTATTTGTATACCTCTTAATTACCTATCTCTCCAGAAATGAACCTTATTTAGATAGTTCTGCCTTAAAAGTGAATGCTTGAATTCTTGCCTAAGGAAATGTTAGGTAAATTTTACTAACTTTACTTTTTCATTTTTCCAAGGAAGAATAACATGTCTAAAAAACACTATATTTCTTGCAATGGGATCTACATGGAATTCCTTTTAAATTTAAATGAGGTATAGACTCTTCATGAGAAAGAAAAAATAGCATTTAAGTGACCAAAGCATGTTATATACATTTAAAATTTATTTCTCTTTCACTTCCTCAGAATTAGAGGTTGAATCTCTTTGATCCAAGATTATAAAACCACTATCAAGCTACAGTTTATAATGTTGGTCCTTCCTATGTGATTCAAAGCACACTGATCCCTAATCTAGAAAATATAGGTGTGAAGCATGACAAGTAGTTGGCAGGATTGGAAAAATATGGCCAATATTGTCCCTACCCAAACCCAGTCATTTGTCATAGTCTAAGTACTACTTTATTAAGGTCATGAAATTACTGTTCTCTAAGACTGTCTGGTTTCTATTTGCAAAAGGCCAAAAACCCGTATACTGAGTGGAAGATACACAGGAAAGTTCTCTCACTTTTCACATAAAAGTACAGGTTGAACAAAGAAAAATCAATTAAATGCAAATTATTTTTATAGAATAAATATAACAATTCAAGAAATACTAATTTTCTATAGATCAAAAGCATTAGTTACTATATAGTTTAGCACCAGGAATAAATTTTCTAAAACATGAACATCATATGAAAGTATGAGGTAAAGTAAAAGTGAAAAAAAAGTCACACAGAGATTATTAAACATAAACTGCTCTAATTCCACAGGATAAAAAAGTATAATTCTAACATAAATGAGAATTAGAAGCTGGATCCAGAGCTAAAAGGATCACAAGAAGTCAAAAATAGAGAACCACTGAGTGAAAAATAATCATAGCTAGAGTATTTGAATTTAATATCCTAAGAAGATGAAAATATACCCCTAGGAGGGGGGAAAAGGCTGCTCAAGGAAATTAAAGGGTGTTATTAGTCAGAGGTCAATCAGTATGCTTTTCCATATCTATCCCTAAAACTAAAAGAAGACACTGGAGAAATCTCTAGTTGAATATGGCCCTGTATTATTTGTATGGTGTTGCCAAATTTTTCATATGTTGAACTTCTGAATATCTCCTGACACAGTCCAACTTACCGCCAATGCAGACGAATAAAAGCTGAAGATATTCTGCCGAAATTCTTTCAGGGCTTTCTTGAATACAACATCCACTAGTGTGTCTTTCTTGCTGTCTTCATTATCTAGGTCATTCATCTGGGGACCACAGAAAGAGTTTTTGTACACAATCAACTAAATTGAAAAGAAGTGAATGCCACACTGGACCCATATTGCTTCTTCAACAATGACCATCCTAAAAGGGCAAATTATCATGGGACCCAGATAAAAACATGACTAGACAGCCAAAGTTTTATTACTATGATACAATTTCTAAGGTCTCTTCTAATATTGTATAATTCAGTAGTTTTGCTACCAGGAAAACAACTCAAAGTGTACAATGACAAACCTCACCTTAACATATGGAGTGAACATGACAGCTGCAGTAAAAGTGAAGTCAAAAGTAAAGCCTAAAACCTTAAATTCTGTCTACCCAGTCCGACTCATGCATGTCCTATGATTTGCACATTTCTGATAAAGAAACAGACCCTCTAACTTACTGAAGCATACATACTTTAGGGGGCATATCCTCATACACAAGCATTCAATAGTCAAAGTTGCTTAGGGGCCTGAATACCTTTTTCAGAAGAAATTCATCCATGCTTTTTAAATCACTAGCACTTGCTATAATCTGGACAGAGTCATTTTGCCAGTGCATAGACTCCAAAGCCACACTGCTGATCTTCACACTTCGCCTGCGCCTTGCCTTTGGAGAAGGCTCTTTGTTCTCTTTGAATTCCTTTCGGCAACTCCCAGGCAATTCCGGACTCAAAGGAGGTGTTGGGTGATTATGAGATAATTCTGTAAACCAAGATAGAGTATCCAAAAAAAAATTTTTTTTAGTAAAAATATTGAAATCTCCACACCTTCTTTTCAAGTCACTAAAGGAAATAAGTAAATATCTGAAAAGTAACATTAATGTTTGGGGTCAGGCAGTTAGGCAATAAATCCAGATTGTACGTCTGTATTGAAAATTTATTTAAGAATTATCACTTTCCAATGAGAAATGCTATCAGGTGTCCCAGAGATGAGGTCTGATACTGAAAACCTGGATGGAAGTGTTGCATACAACTGAAGCCTGGATTCCAAAGATCTCAGTCCCAAAGAAAAGAAGCATACAAATCACACGAGGATGTTAAATGCTGACTGCTAACCCAGTCAGAGCTTTACTACATCTGTTTTGAAAGAACAAGCAGCGTATACAAATCCAATAAGTCAGTGAAGCTTGATAATTAGTATTATTTCTTTACTAGGGTCTAAAGCCATAAATGTTTTAGTGACAATATCTGGTGTTAGCCTGGCAACCTCTATTTAGGGAGCAAGGTAACTCAATTGGTTCACTTCTGCTTAGGTCTCTTTACTATTTAGGATTTTCTTTCATATGCATACTTCCCCCTAAATTGTATTGATTTCTCAGACAATTCCTGGACTGAACCAGTTTTGTATATAATATTGGAAAAACACAACAAATTTTTTCTGCAACTGTTTATACCAGAGAAATTTGGTTCCATGTAGTCCACTGGAATCTAGAACTACACTGGACTTGCCAATGCCTACCTGGGGCTTGATGAGAATGTTGGTCCCATTTCACATACCTGTTTCTCTCACATGTATTTACCTTATCTTTTGGCCAATGGTATATCCTCATTCCATCTAAAAGCTTAATTCTGATAATAAAGGGAAACAAGTAGGCTTCTATGTGCTAAATGCCACAAAAGGCAGGAAATGTGACAAACTAAATTTCAGATATGGCACCAGAATAAAAAAATATGAAGATATAGAGAGGATACAAGTATATTCAAACTGGTGTCAACTGATATTAATTCCATTATATAACCTAGATATACAAGTATCTAGTTATTTCATTTAACAAACAATATCTTTCTTAATACTAAAAGAAATAATGGTTACTAAAGAAACTGTCTATAATCCTAGTTCAGCCTTAAAAACAAGGGCTACCTTAATAAATCTTTACTCAAAGATAAATAAAAAGGTACAATTTTAATTTTTACACATGTATCCTTATTAAGCAAACACTCAAAGAATTTCCTAATTCCTTCTTGGAAATAAGCAGTAGAGAATATAACTGTGAAAAATGAAAAATTTAGAATGACTACTATAAAACAGATAAAACATAAGAAATGGATCCTCGTAGGAATTCCAAATTTTCCAAACTGAACTTGTAGTATTCACTTAATTTACTACTGGTTTTATCCATACCAGTTTGCAAACTGATAGGAGCAAAGTCACAAGACAGAAAAATAGGATTCTAATTAAATTTCTACCAGTTTTCCCTCTGACACACAGGTGCTTCTGCTCTGGTTGATCCATGCCTCTGTGAAACTTGATCATCTTTCCTCCCTTGATCTTATCTTATCCTCTGTCCCTTTATTTTTATTTTAGCCTAGATGTGACAAGTTTTGTTTACTTATTTTAACTTGGTCTGTTCTATTTCTACTTAGAGATAATAATTTTATTCCTAGGGCCTACTTCTATTTTATTCAATACTGACATTTCACCCACTCATTGGTATTTTACCCACTCATTACCACATAGCCACCTCTGATGTATATCCCCCCTATTGAAGACAGCTGGCATCTTTACATAGTAATTAAAAACACTCACACATGCTTGAGCAAAGAGCTTGGAGAGAAAAGGCTAATCTTCAGATGCTGGGATTACTGAATCCTTGGAGAGTTAGTAATTCTAGCATTTAGAGAGACCATATCAATAGATGAACTAACTGTTGGGTACTTGTTATGTGCCATGACTGATGCCCCAAAATTAAAATAATAGCTATCATTATAGAGTCCTAGCAACTGACATATAGTAGACCTTTTAGCACAACAATTAAGAATACGGACTCTGGAGCCAGATCGCCTGAATTCAGATCTCAGTTCTAACAACTGCTATACGTGTATAAGCAAATAACTTCTCTGTGCCTCAGCTTTCTCATTAGTAAAGTGGGAAAAATAATCATACCAACCTCAAAAAATGGTTGTGAGGATCAAGTTAATACATCCAAAATGCTTAGTACAGTGCCTTTTTCCTAGTAAACAATCAAATATTAGCTGCTATTATCTTATTAATTTTTACTAGGAATACATATTTGTTAGGTGAATGAATGGTGGCTAAATTTTTACACTTTAGAAAACTGAGGCTAATCAAAAATTCGCAATTGTTCTTGACGTTGTTGTTACTTCACTGTTTTGGTGCCGTATTTCCTTGAAACTGCTCTTATAGGTAAAATGTAGTTCTATAATTATCTTTTAGTTAAGGAAGGATTTAAAATATTGGTCCTATCTCACTAGAATACCTTTGCCAAGAGGATTACTGTTACAAATACTAGAGGGATAGTAAACTTTCAGAATGAGTAAACAGAAATTATGAAGACAATCTCCACCCTTTGTCCATTTTTACCATCTGGAAACTGATGAGCTGGAATCATATCTGAGCCAGCGAAGAGTGCTGAAACCTCTGAGTGGGTATCAGGTTTCCCTCTGGTAGTCTTCTTCTCCCCTTGTTTCCCTTTGGCCCAGAATCTCATCTTAGCTCTCTGAGGTCTGTTTACAAAAAAAAAAAAAAAGTAAAAATGGCAATCAGGATGTCCTATTGACATTATTTGTATATCACCTTAAGTTACATAAACAACTTTCATGTGAATTAACTCATTTAACCTTCACAGTTAAGCTTAAGTCATATTTAATCTTCAACTGTACAGTTAAACTTCATCTAGGAAGTAAATGATAGTCTCCTCATCTTGAAAACAGAAATGAGATCCAGATATGTTAACAAAACCACCATTTATATCAGTTATTATCATATAATCATATTATCATGTAAGTACTTATGCTCCAGGCATAAGTACTTGTGTAGAGTTACCTTAAATACCTATAACAAGAAATTTGCATTCGAACCATAAACAGTTTTCAGGTAAAAAACGGGTGGTTTAAATATCAGGTGACTTTCCCAAGGTTACACAGCCAGTGAGTGACAAAGTGGAGGATCATACCTACTATGCAACATTGCCTCATTCTTAGTACTTACATACTCTCTCGCATCACATACATCAAGGAAACATCCTGAGACAGTGACAGCTTACTGACCCATGTATCCTAACTCGGTGCTAGGAGGCTTACTTGTACATTGAGTGTTGGTTCCTTTATATGTTTGTCTACCAAAAAAGAAATTTTTTTCGAGCATCTACTAGAAGCCAGGCACTGGGCCTTACTTACAATGACTTCTTTTCACAACTGCCATATGATAAATGAGTATTTTTATCCTAACTATACATGAACAACCTGAGGCTCAGAGGGCTGAGAGAGACAGAAGTTAAAATCAGGTGTATCTGCTTTGAAAGTCAATATTCTTTTATTCATGGTGCCCTCTTTTTTTAAATAGCATATTACTAAACTTATACATCTATATGGTAAAAAAAGAAATTGTTCCACAAAGCTTATTACAAATGATCACTTTTCCCCTGCTATTCTTATCCCTTTTCTCATCCCTAAACAACCCTTTAGAATTTACTTACATGGTTCTTTTAATATTCATGAAACTTATATTGCTATCATACTTGTGACCACAGATAATAAATTAAGCACATTTCAACACTCCAGTTCTATACCCTCCACACACACAGACATTCCCCCACAACAGAATATCATAGTTTTAGTTAGGTCAATATACATTTTTTTTTTAGTAGTATTCACCTTTTTTACTGTGTAAATAATATTCACAACTGAGGCATATAGTACCCTATATAAACCATATTTTTTAGAGTTAATGTTTTCTTTTATATTTGCTCATTTTTCTACATTCAGTTCACCTCCAAGTGTTTCCCCATTTGTGAATATCTTCTCTCAATATGTTGAAACACAGTTAGGTTCTCCATCAGTTCTGTGTTCTTAAAGAAATCTTTCCCATAGCCTTCTAACCTGCTCTAATCTGGCATGGTTCCCTCTGTGATTGCTGTACAACCATCATTTGTAAAGCTACTTTCAGGATCATAATGGAGATTTCTTTTGTCTCTACTATTTTGTGACGACATGTCTTTTGGTATGGGTTTACTTTCATTCATTATGTCGAGCCTTGTCAATCTAGATGCTCAAGTCCTTCAATTCTGTGACATTTACCTGAATTACTTTATTAATGATTTGCTCCTCTGCATTTTCTTTGTCTTATCTTTCCAGAGTTCTTACAAGTGAGTCACTGGATGTCCTAAACTACTCCTCTAATTTTCTTCTCTTTTCTTGCCTCTTCTTTCCCTTTGTCTTTTTGTTCAAATTTCTGAGAGATATCAACTATCTTTCTCATGCTTTGGACTTCTTTATGCTATTGCAGTTTCAATTTTCAAATGCTCGTATTTTATTATGAATGTTTTCCTTTCAACTATTCTAATTTCATGAATATAGCTGTATTTCTTTATGCAGTAGATCTACTGATAGTTTTATGTATCTGTCTTGAAGTTTTCTTTCCCCTGTATAGTTTATTTCTTCCAAGTTATATTTTATCCATTAATTTTAGTTTCTTTCATTTAAGATGGCTTCTCAAATGTGTGGTGATCATGCTTGGAAGCGCTTCCCTTGTGGCTCAGCGGATAAGGAATCTGCCTGCAATGTGGGAGACCTGGGTTCGATCCCTGGGTCGGGAAGGTCCCTGGGAGAAGGGAAAGGCTACCCACTCCAGTATTCTGGCCTGGAGAATTTCATGGTCTGTAGTCCATGGGGTTGCAAAAGTCAAACACGCCAGAGTGACTTTCACTTTCACATGCCTGGAAGTTCTAGTGTGCATTAGTGGGGCTTCCAAACTGTGGTCGCCCTTGCAGGGTTATCTGGCTGATACCAGTATCTTTAGGTCTTTTCTTGAGGGTTGGACCAAAGCCCCAAAGACTCTTTGAATCATCTGCTTAGAGGGTATGTGAAACATGGGAGCTGAATACAGAATAAAATTTGGGGGATCTTAACATTCAGTATGTAAACATTCGTAAAATCCCCCTGGTTCCAAATATGTACCTCAATTCTCAAGTATATCTGGTTACCTCCAAGTGCAGAAATCTTTTGTTTTATCCTTTCCAGAAAATATATCTCCTATTTTCTGCTAGGGTTGGGGAAGATCAGCCAGTCAGATGCTTCTTTCTCAGTTGGCTTAAGATTTAGCTTTCTCCTATCTATTAAGACATTTTAAATTTGTCTATTTACCTTTTGGATTCCACATTTTTATTACTTCTGTCTCCTGTTGCTTTGTTGCTGCTGTTGCTTTTGTCCTATATAGGTTATTTTAGGAAGATGTGGAAATTAAATTTATATATTTAATCTGCTATCTCTACTTGTATATTTTTCTACTATGTTACATTTTGATTCTCAAACTTTCATCTCCAGTATAATCTGCTCTAGATTTGGGTTACCTTGGATTATGCCTCTACAGTCATTGAGAAAGTGATCTTTAACAGGGTTATGAACCAGATAGATATTCAATGTGATATTCAAGTGTTCAGTGAGGACCCAATTGTCTTACACAATACGATAAGGGACAAAGACATACTCTTGATAAATAAAAACTTCAAATACTTTCCTAAAAAGAGTAGTTATTTCCTGAAAGCTTTTTCCAGTTCCATTTGTAAAACACTTAACTCAGAGCAGAATTCAAGTCCAAAACCAGAAAATATTTTCACTCTCATCTCATCTAATGTCTTTTCTTTTAAAACCAAAAACCCTAAGTCATATAACGATGTTAAGACTTTGCCCTGGGACTTCCCTGGTGGTCTGGTGGTTAAGACTGCACTTCCACTGCATGGGGGTGTGGGTTTGACCCCTGGTCAGAGAACTAAGATTTCACAGGCCAAACAGTGTGGTCAAAAAAAAAAAAAGATTTTCCCCAAATCACAGAGCTAAACATATAAAAAGACAAAGTTTACTATATATATCTGAACTGTTTGTTTCTGTCAGAGTAAGTGCTTAGTATTTGCTGAAAAATGAATTTCAAAACTTTTGAAATCGATAGCTGTTCTATGAATTATGCTTTTATTAAGATGCTCGGTATTTAGCTATAGTCTATTAGTAAATAAAATTATATTACCCCTATTAACTTTCAGTGTATGCTTTATACCTTATATCTGAATCTGAAGCCTTCTGTCTCACTGCCAACTTCGTAATCTCTCCTTGAGACATGGTCTTATGAAGCTTTGCTTCTTCATCAACTGAAGAAAACCGCTGTGAAGTCTGTAATAATTACATATGTAAAGACTTCAAAACCAAGTAATTATTATCATAGCACTATAATTAAAACTCAGATTACAGAATTATTTTAGAATTGCGTCTATTAAAAACATACAAAAATACATTCATATTACTCAGAGATTCATTAAAATAAAAGAACCTACTAAAAATTCCATGAAGTTCAAACAGTAATCTAAAGTAAAGGGCACTTGGGTCAATAAAAAAGCTAAATGGGAAATACCAGCTCATGTTTTCTGACAATTTAGCAAACAATATCAAGTAGGGTGAATGGAAAAAAAAAAAGAGTATCAAATGGAAAAGTAAGAAAAAAATCAAAACCATCTACAGATAGAGACAAAAGATACAGGACCTGATAAATCTAGATATACAGGATAATTAATCAGTAGTGATCAAGTTAAAGACATAGACTAAACTTTAAAGAAAAAATTCTCAAGGTCTGCAAGTAAAAAGATCAAATAACTTATAAGGGCAAGAGATTTAGACTGGCAATAGACTTACCAACAATAACAAACAAAGTAAGACAATAATAAAATAGCATTTTCAAATAACTCAGAAAAAGGAAATATGAATCAAGGACTTTATATGTAGCCAAGATGTGCCTTCAAATATCAAGGCCATAGAAAGATCTCAGGGAATTCCATATCGATGGCCCTTTGAGTAATCTAAGGGAAGAGCTTCGTCCAACCAAGAGATAAACAGGGAAATTTCTGCAAAATATTTGAAGTGATAATTTAATACATTTAATTGTAGATCGAAGACAAAAACAATGGTGGGGACTATGGTGAAAGAATTGTATACAAAATTACATATTCTGACAAAGTAGAAAGGAGTAGAAGGGAGTATAGACTAGAATAATTCACCAATAGTTGTGCCACAATAGGTAAGAATATTACTCATTCAAAAATGACTAATTAGAGTATTACTGATTAAACTTAAAAATATTAAAGGCATTTTTTAAAGTTACATATAAAAGTAAACAATCAACAGAACAAGAACACAATGTATGCTAAACATCAAAAGAAATTTAAAAAAATAAAAGAGAAAAAAAATGAAGACAGCAAATTTAACATGATAATAACAAAACTGCAGGTTGAGAATTAATCTCTCACTTTCATCAATAAACATGAATAGATTTAACTCACCTACTAAGGGAAAGATTTTTTAATTTGGCTCACAAAGCAGGGCCCAACTATATTGTATAAAAAACACACCTCTAAACAAAAAGATCCAGACAAGCTAAAGTTAAAAGGACGAACAACAGTATTCTAGGCAAATGGATATAATAAGAAAACGGAGGCTGTGATATTACTAATATAAAATTCAAGCAAAAATACAGGGAAGCTGACAAAGGACAATTTTTAATATTAAGAGGTACAATTCACAATGAGTAACAAGAATAACACTAACATTCATCTGATATAAGACAGATAAAAAATGATATAGAAGACAAATAACATTATCAGTAAGGTAGAGATTATGCATGTATACTGAAATTTTACACTCTGAATAGACAATACACCTTATCAAACACACTTGCAACAAGTAACAAGTGCTGGCAAGGATATGGATAGAAGAGAACCTTCGTTCACTATTAGTGGGAATGTAAATTGGTATGGCCACCATGGAAAACAGCATGGAAGGTCCTCAGAAAATTAAAAGTGGAATTGAGATATGATCCAGTAATTCCACTTCTGGGTATTTATCCAAAGGGAAAAAAACACTAGTATAAGATATATGTACTCCAATGTCCATTGCAGCATTATTTATGATAACCAAGTTACAGAAGTAGCAAAGTGCCCACCAGTAGATGACTGGATAAAAAAGATGTGGTATATATATAAATAAACACATATGTGTGTGGAATATTACTAAGCCATAAAAATTAATTCTTGTCATTTGAGACAACATGTATGGAGCTAGAGGGAATTCTACTAAGTGAAATCAGCCAAAGACAAAGACAAAAAGTGCATGTTCTCACATGTGGATTCTAAAAAACAAAAACAAAATGAAAAAGGACTCATACAAAGAACAAATGGGAGGTTGCCAGAAGGGAGTAGAGGGAAGGAGGGGTGGGCAGAAGAGGTGTAGGTTTTGAGATTAAGAGATACAAGCATCCAGTTCAATAATAAACAAGTCATGGGTATGTGTATAGAGCACAAGGAATATGGTCAGCAATATTATAATAACCTTGTATGGGGATTGATGACTCTAAAATTATGATGGTGATCATTTCAGAATGTAGGCAAGTGCCAAATCATTACATAGTATATCTGAAAGTAACATAATACTGCAATCATATATATTTCAATTTAAAAAATGCACAGGGAACATTCATAAAAACTGATCACATTCTATGTAACAAAGAAAATACCAATAAATTTGATCAAACAGAAGCATTATAAACAGTCTTTCATCAGAATACAATAAAACTAGAAACTAACAAAGATTTAAAAACAAAAAGGCTCTTCATCTGAAAACTAAAAAATTTTTATTAAACAAGTTTCAGGTAAAAAAAGAAATATAAACTAAAATTACAGATTTTCTTTAAAATAATCAAGCCTTTACACATTAAAATAAATGAGATACATCTGAAGTGTGATCAGAGGAGAATTCATAGCCTTAAAAACCTGTATCAATAAAAATAAATGAAAAGTTACTCACTCAAAGACTAGAAAAATAAAACAGTAAACCAAAAGAAAATATAATAAATAATAAACATAAGGTAAAAACAGAAAGCAGTGGAGAAGAAAAAAAAGGAAACATGATAAGTAAAACCAGATCCTGTTACTCTGGAAAAAATTAACAAAATAGACAAATAACTAGGTAAAGAAAAAAAAATCTATGAAATAAGAACAGACAAAAGGAAAATAAGAACAGACAAAAGGAAAATAACCACTGAAACAGAATTTTTTTAAACCATGAGACTACTTTATAGACCCCTATGCAACTAAATCTGAACAATGAAATGGAAAAAACTAGTTGCCAAAATTGACCTTATTAGACAGAAAGCTTTAAAGGCTAATTCTCCTAGAAGAAATAGAGGAACTTATGCTACAAAAAAAGTACCAACCCAGATAGTTTCATAGGAAAATTCTACCAAATCAAACAGCAGAAAGTGGCAATGCTGTCCTCTGATTTTTGGGGGGGAATAAAATACACATATAAACACTAAGTGAAGGGAGTTCCCTGGTGGCCTAGTGGTTAGGATCTCACTCCATGGCCAGGGGTTCAAGGTCTATTCAGGGAACTGAGATCCTGCAAGCTGAGAGGTACAGTCAAAGGGGGGTAAAGCAAAATTAATGAAAATGTGAATAACAAAACTGAAAACCAGAGAGCCCTAACAGGCTTGAGGAAATTAAACAATATAAAATAGAAAACAGTACGTTAAAAAATAAGTAAATACTAAGTGTATGCAATAAGCTGCTGTCCTGGGGCCACCAATCTAAACTTTCTATGCCATAAACTGTTCAATTCACCAGTTTTCCCACTTGCAATACTCATCTCAAAATCACTAGCCTAGGTCCTAAAATATTATAAATATCCTTTCCTGACTTCCCCCTTCTTAAAAATTACTAAGACTTAATCGAGGTAGCTTTCCCCTTATTGTAAAATAAGCTAACAGACTTAGCCGTGCTTGATCAATGGTTTTTTTTTTTCTGGCAGTTTTCTGTGTAGTAAAGAGAAGGAAAATTCAACACAGATAAGGAGTGAAGAGTATCTCAGAGAAATACAAACAGAAATAGGAAGGTAAGAAGTACAGTAATTCTGGGGGGAAATGAAAAACTCAGTTTTATCATACAGGAGATAAAGACAACAAATTCTGGAGAACTGTTTGGGAGTCAGACCCATGGAGATGACTGCTTTAAGTGTAGGGAATGGCAGAAGAAACTATACGAGAAAACTCTGTTACCTCTATCAATCCTACAAATAAGGGGTAGAAATGATTTTATCAACTCACCATCCATACGATTCAGAGACTAAATAAAAAGCTATCTGAAAGCTATCTTTAAAATGTTGCTTAGCAGAATATGTTGATGTCCTTGGGTAAAAACCAATATAAAGTGAAAAGTGAAATGAAGTTGCTCAGTTGTGTCGGACTCTTTGCAACCCCATGGACTGTAGCTCACCAGGCTCCTCTGTCCATGGGATTCTCCAGGCAAGAATACTGGAGTGGGTTGCCATTTCCTTCTCCAGGGAATCTTCCAGACCCAGGGATCAAACCCAGGTCTCCCACATTGCAGGCAGGCACTTTAACCTCTGAGCCACCATGGTGTGTATAAAAACCCAGTGAAAGCAGCATACAGAGCCTAAACAGTTACTCAAACGGCACAGTTAAAAGCAGAGAAAAACAAAAGAAAACCAAGGTCATAGAGACAGAAACCACTATTCTCACTTCCACTCCTTCACTGCAGGCAACAACTAATTACCCATTTGTCAACTCCAGAGGTGATGCTTATCAAATCCCCTTGAGGGCATGCATATCTAACTGTTTTTATCTCATTAGGATCAGTGATCTCACCCATGGAAAGGTCAGCTGATGGCCTCCTTGAGGAATGACACACTCCTCAGCAAATGTCAGAGTCACTAAGTCACTTTGTCCAGAAAAAAAAAAAAAAACTATCCAGCTTTTAAAAAAATCATGTGCCCAGAAAATCAAGACCATTTACAACCCTGAAGATATTCAGATTTTGATAATTCAGTAGATTTCAGTTAGAAATAATGAGTCTTCATTTTCACAATATCAGGTAACATTAGAACATGGCATATTTTCAGATAAACAGAAACATACTTTAAAACTGTCCCTACCCTTCCCACCCCCAACCCCAATAAGTAACTGTCAGCATAGTCTAGAGAAAGCAAAGCTTCTTCATGCAAGTGTCCACCAGAAACAAACACCACAACCTACTCCTAAAATAGCCGTGATGAAACACAGGACAGGGAGAAAGCTGGAGAGGTGACCGGTACACTGTGCGGGAGGCGCACTACAACTACTGGCATGCAGTGATCGTCAGCAGGTGGACGCAACCACAGGCGGGGGCTGCCGCACAGAACCCGCACAGGGGCTGAATGCCCCAAGCAGAAAGCCCAGCTTCTTGGCTCATCTCAAGAAGAGTTCCCAGAAAGAGTTCTACCACTGAAAGGACTAAGGTTTGTATCACAGGAAACTCTCAGGAACAAAACAGCAATTACAAATGCTAAATTCTTTGACAAAAACTGGAGAATAATTTAAGTATGTTCCCTATTTATACTAGAAATATATAGCAGTGTTTTTTCATTAAAATTAGTTTGTTCCATTACATGATTTCATCTTCAACCAACTAAGCATATGACAGAATACGTTTCAATAATTATCACTCAAAAATAGGGCCATCTCCAAAGTGGAGAAATTTAATCCTACACTAAAGAGAAATCTTTGGTTCTAACTAGATATATTAATGAACATACAGGCTGAGCAACTTTTACCATTTGGTTCAGGGTAATGATTCATTAGTCTAATTAGACAACTGGCTGTGCATTTTTATATTTTTATTGGTGATTTTATTTTTTCTTCCTTAGAATATCCATATTATCATTTAAAAACTGGGTCTATCTCCAACAAGAGATAAAGACAATGAGATTATTCTGGAACGTAACGATAACTTTAATTAACTAGGTCTTCGGTACAAACAGCCTGAAACTTAAAAAAAAAAAAAAGTGAAAGTGTTAGTGGTCCAGGTGTGTCTGACTCTTTGCCACCCCGTGAGCCAGCCAGGCTCCTCTGTCCACAGAACTCTCCAGGCAAGAATACTGGAGCAGGCCGCCATTCTTTTCTCCAGGGGATCTTCCCGCCCAGGGGAACAAACCTGTGTCTCCCACACGGCAGGCAGGTTCTTTACCATCTGAGCCACCAGAGAAGCCCCGAAACAGCTTAAAGCCATTCAAAGAGAAAACATTTAATGCGTCAACAGAAGAGCACCCTACAATGTTCCTCCCGTAATGAACAGATACTACAAAAGAACATTAGAGACTAAACGTAATTAAGGATATGCATGGAAATAAAATGCCTATCACTCTACTTCCTCGGTGATAACATTTAGTACATAATAGGCATACAGGGTACTCCTATTGTATTTTCCAGGCCAATTCCAAAATCAAACACTTTATATCCATAAATACACTCAAACTTATCAAATTATATGTACCTAATTTGGGCTGAGATATGATAATAAAGCTATTTTATTTATGCAACTTTAAACATAATGTTAATAATTTGTGATTAATACAAATTCACATTATCTACAGCCTTTTAGTTGGCTGGGTTGGTCCAGGAAGATATTTTTAGCATTTCTCATTAAATTTTTTAAAAATTCATGTTTATTTTTTATTACTAAAAAATGCAGAGGGGAAGCAGGTTTAAATGAAAAAAAAAAGAGAGAGAGAGAAAATGAGAGAATATTATTTCAGTTAAAAGCTACTGGATTATTTAACATATACTCTAGTCACTAGACCACAGAGAGATCAGGAAACTATGGCTAGCAGGTCAAATAAAGCTCATTGCCTGTTTTTGTAAATAGTTTTATTGGAACACAGCCGTGCACCTATGTTCACTTACTGCCTACAGTGGTTTCCACTCTACAATAGCAGAATTAACTAGTTCCAACAGAGACTGTATGACCCATTGAGTGTGAAATATATAATATCTGGCCCTTTACAAAAAAAGTTTGAGGCTCCTGTTCTAGAAACCTTTAAGATAGAACACAGAAAACTTCTACATTAGTGCTAAGTAATTTTAATATTTTTTGCCTAACTTATGATTTAACTGACATATACTGTGCTAAAGTGCCCTAATCCAAGTCCTGTTAAATTAAGGTTTAGCTTTAGTTGCTGTGTTCACTGAGGTTTCCCACGTACAAACCATTATATATGGAGAAGAAGCTGTGAAGGTTAGCTTTAGATTAGCAAAGACTATTTCCATCAGATTTGCTTGTTGCCTATTTTTCTTATACTGCTATAAAATTACCATTTCGGAGTCACTGTGAGAGGCCTGACCCAGGCTGGGTGCAGGCCCTAGCTCAGAGTGAGAAGCTTGGTCAGGGGAGAGAAGGGGCTCAATAATGTCATCGTAATCATCTTCCTCTGTATCCCCCTCCCCATCGGCAAAAGTACCTCTAGTCAAGAAATCGGAGCGCGTCCGCGCCATTCGAGCTTTCTTTTTATGGGCCGGTCTGGCAACCTGCTTGACCAAATGATAAAACAAATAACACAACAATGTTTTGTTTTGGTTTTTTGGGAGATGATGCCAATGAAAGACATCAGAGAGCTCATGAATTTCTTGAAACATCCCCTCCCGCCCCATGCCTTTTCCACTAGAAGTGACAGCCATAACCAAAAGCAATCCATATTCATTACTCTGGACAAAGAATAAGAACGGAAGCTAAATCCACACTGTTCTTCTCCATAGCCAAGGAAGTCATTTTTCACTGCCATAATACGTCACCAAAGTCACCTGCATAAATTGCCTTCTTTTCTTTTAGAATTCCTTTTTTGTAAATATAATCTGGATTTGTAGGCATTCTTCCCTGCCTGAAGTATTCCTCTCTGAGTATAACAGACTTAACTCATGGCTTCTTTTTCTATAAACACTTGGGAGTAAATGAGTAAATGAAGTGTTCTAACTACAAGAACAGTAATTTCCAAAACAGTGTGCACCTATTTTGCATACGAGATAAATAAAACAAAATTCAACACTTACCTCTCCTTGGCCCGGCCCAGTTAACTTTACAGGTTTCCAAGTTGGTTCATCTTGTTTCTGGAGTTGAGGATTTCCACTGTTCAAGGCTTCCATGGTGACACTTCGAATGAAACAACAGGATTACATTTCAATTCCTAGCAGATAACTCATGGCAGCAGTCTTAAAAGGATAGCATGAAATATAGTCTAACAAGCCAGGTCAAAGAAATGGATTTGATGGTGAGAAAGGGAAAATACCAAGTCCACAAATCTTAAGAATTAGTCTTAGAAGGGGTCTTTATACGCTCATCATTTAAAACACCTGATAAGTAGCTACCGAGTGATGAGGATCTCATCACTTTGCTTTATAGGGAGATGGCTCTATTGACAAATTTTCTTTCTGAAATCTCTCTGCAACTTTTATCTGTTGGCTTAATTTTAAAACTTGAGGCTGTACAGAATAAAATCAACACTGACAGAGTAAGAAACTGTTATCAAACTAAAAGAACTATGCTCCAAACCATAAAGACAGTATAGTGTTAAGTTTGTGAGAATTTAATTTTTGCTTAAATAACCACATGACATGACTGCTTTATCATTAAATTCTCTGCAGAAATGAATGTTTGTGTCTGATGAAAATCTGAAGAGAACCTATACTTTTCCTATACTTTTAAGAACCCAATTATCTATACTAACTCAGGACCATGAATCTTAAAATTTATCAGGAACATATTGTTCATCTCTTCTTAGCAAGACTGTAAACTCACTGAAAATCATATTCACCTTCTAGCATACTGCTGAGTTTAAGGTAGACATTAACTTATAATATCCTTTGGCAGATTAACTGCACTTGCATTCAAAATCTTCCATGAAAGCCTAGGTTATCTTGCCCAATAATCCCTAAACACACCTTTCTTACAGCTAAAATCTTCTTAGAGATCTCTCTTTCTAACCAGCAAGTCCAGCAATCCTAGGTTGTCCTAAAAGATTCCCTTTTGATTATTCAAATCTCCCTTGCCATAGCTGAGTCATTTATCTTTGATTTGTTCTCCAAAAGAGGGACAATTAACAGGACCTTTGATAGTACCTGGCTACTCTGGTTAACTTTTAAATTCACAGCATTTTCTCTAAGCTTCTCCATGATTTCTTTTTTGTTCTCCCTTACTAACCAGATGAAAACTACAATGCACTTACTACCCTACGGCATAGAAAGAACGCTAATCTAATGTTACTTCCTAATCAGGATACCCAATGTTGATTTCTAATCAGGAAACTCTAATTCTGGGCTCAGCTATTTCTAACTATGTGACCTTATCCAGGTATTTCACATCCACGGGCACCAGTGACCTCATCTATAATATGTGGTAACTGAATAGATAACTTAGAAACACTAACACTTACAATTCTATAAAATGCTAATGTTTCTAGTATTACTTACAGAGTAAGAGAACATGTGAAGTATGGATTTTCCTTAAGCTTTCATGCAAACAATCTAATACATTATCATTTTGAAGATAAATAGTTGTTAATAAGGTAAAGTAAAAAAGGAGCTGTTAAGACTGTATCTTGGCAAAATGATAAAAGGAGTAATTCACAAGGATGATTAATGTTTTTGAAATCTGCCTCTTGAGAAATCTGTATGCAGGTCAGGAAGCAACAGTTAGAACTGGACATGGAACAATAGACTGGTTCCAAACAGGGAAAGGAGTACGTCAAGGCTGTATATTGTCACCCCGCTTATTTAACTTATATGCAGAGTACATCATGAGAAACGCTGGGCTAGATGAAACACAAGCTGGAATCAAGATTGCTGAGAGAAATATCAATAACCTCAGATATGCAGATGACACCACCCTTATGGCAGAAAGCAAAGAAGAACTAAAGAGCCTTTTGATGAAAGTGAAAGAGAGTGAAAAAGCTGGCTTACAACTCAACATTGAGAAAACTAAGACCATGGCATCTGGTCCCATCACTTCATGGCAAATAGATGGGGAAATAGTGGAAACAGTGTCAGACTTTATTTTTTGGGGCTCCAAAATGACTGCAGATGGTGACTGCAGCCATGAAATTAAAAGACGCTTGCTCCTTGGAAGAAAAGTTACGACCAATCTAGACAGCATATTAAAAAGCAGAAACATTACTTTGCCAACAAAGATCCATCTAGTCAAGGCTATGGTTTTTCCAGTAGTCTTGTATGGATGTGAGAGTCGGATCATAAAGAAAGCTGAGTGCCAAAGAATTGATACTTTTGACTCTTGAGAGTCCCTTGGACTGCAAAGAGATCCAACCAGTCCATCCTAAAGGAAATCAGTCCTCAATATTCACTGGAAGGACTGATGCTGGAGCTGAAACTCCAATACTTTAGCCACCTGATGCAAAGAACTGACTCATGTGAAAAGACCCTGATGCTGGGAAAGACTGAAGGCAGGAGGAGAAGGGGATGACAGAGGACAAGATGGTTGGATGGCATCACTGACTCAATGGACATGAGTTGGAGTAAACTCCAGAATTTGGTGACGGACAGGGAGGCCTGGAGTGTGGCAGTTGATGGGGTCACAAAGAGTCAGACACGACTGAGTGACTGAACTGAACTGAAGTCTTCTATAAAACAGATTCATGGATCTAACAACTATACACACACACACGCATCCCTCACATAACTAAACTTAATCAGAAAGGCAGAAAATAATATGTTATGACCAACCTAGATAGCATATTAAAAAGCAGAGACATTACTTTGCCAACAAGGTCCGTCTAGTCAAGGCTATGGTTTTTCCAGTGGTCATGTATGGATGTGAGAGTTGGACTGTGAAGAAAGCTGAGTGCTGAAAAACTGATGCTTTTGAACGGTGGTGTTGGAGAAGACTCTTGAGAGTCCCTTGGACTGAAAGGAGATCCAACCAGTCCATCCTAAAGGAGATCAGTCCTGGGTGTTCACTGGAAGGACTGATGCTGAAGCTGAAACTCCAATACTTTGGCCATCTGATGTGAAGAGTTGACTCACTGGAAAAGACCCTGATGCTGGGAGGGACTGGGGGAAGGAGGAGAAGGGGACAACAGAGGATGAGATGGCTGGATGGCATCACTGTCTTGATGGACATGAGCTTGAGTAAACTCCAGGAGTTGGTAATGAACAGGGAGGCCTGGCGTGCTGTGATTCATGGGGTCGCAAAGAGTCAGACACGACTGAGCGACTGAGCTGACTGACTGACTGAACATTTTCTGATGGGCTTATATGCTACAGTCTTGAACTGCTGGACAATCTACAGGTTAATGGGCAGGACTAGGTTCTCAAGCTGTCATGTAGTCCAACTGCATTTTATAATATGATATAAAAATTCTTAGTGGAAAAATAAAATATCAATGATCTCTTGCCCATATTTACAAAGGTTTTCTATAAAATCTGTATGCAAGTTTTTTAAAGACTGAAAGATTTAAAAACTCAAGATTTGATGAGAAAGTTATTTTCACAGTTAATACGAAATACAACTTTTTTAGCCCTAAGATATGGCTCTCCTTTCATTTAAACAGTGATATTCTTCCACAAGAACTGAAAGAACTGTATTAACTAGGCTTAATGCAAATATTTTAAATTTTATCAAATTTGTTTTATGTACCACTTAAATGCTTTTTCACAGCTACCACTTGTTAAGACAACTTAAAAGTATAAGGAACTTCCACTTATACAAGGTATCTAAGGTAGTCACAGGGAATTCTCCAGCTATCCAGTGGTCAGGACTCTGAGCTTTCACTGCTGAGGGCCTAGGTTCAATCCTGGTTGCAGTGCAGTCAAAAATAAAAATAAAATAAAGTAGTCACATTCTTATAAACAGAAGGTAGAATGGTGGTTGCTGGGGGCTGGGGGTAAAGGAAAAAGGAGAGTTGCTTTCAAGGGTAACTGAATTTGTTTTGCAAGATAAAGTTCTAGATTTGTTGCACAACAATGTGCATATGGTTAACACTACTGAACTGTACATTTTAAAATGGTTAAGATGGTAAATATTATGTGGCTTTTATCCGCCCCCCCCCCTCAAAAAAGTACAAAGATCTTAACGAAGACCATAAATAGGCCAACAGCTATCACAAATCCCATTAATTTTAAAGCCTGATACAAATAAGCTTGGACTGCTACACCTAATAACTCTGGGGCAACCCGCATTTGTTGAATGTCTACTGCATTTCCAGCCACTCTATGGCTCTCCACAAATGCTTTCTCCCTTATTGGGGCGGGGGGGGAACTAAAAACCCTGCTGCCTGTGCTTAGTCAAAGACTCCCAGGGTATAATTATATCCAATTTTCAGGTGGCTGGTGTAGTCAACAATCAGGAAATTTTTTTACACACAGAAATTAGCTAATTCAAGTAGCACCCATACAAATAACTGAGGTAGACCAAGGCACCTTAATGAAAATTTCCAAAAAGTTTATCATTTATACATAAAAATAAACTTTTCACTTACAGGGAACTACTCATATTTTCCTTTGGTGTGAAAAAAATGGCCTTAGTAGCTCCGTCTCTGAAAGGGTCATCAGATTTGTGGCTACAAGGCTGAGCCGGCCTCAGGTGTTCTCTCTTTGAAATGCGACTATGAGAGTGTTTATAGGCAACATTCAGTTGGGTGGACATTCTGTCTGTCTTGGATAATTCCTTGACAGTGTGAGATTGGCCTGGGCCTCCTTTTCTTTCAAAGAACAGAGTGACAGGTCGGTCCTTTAAGGGTAAGTGAGTTGAGGGACTGTCTTTTGGGGCAAGAACAGAATCTTTTATAGTTACTGACAGAGTCCCAACCATACTGGATTCTTCATCCTTATTTGGGGTTTTCAGGATGAGAAGAGAGGATGGTCTCTCTATTCTCTGCTTTGACTGATGGAAAGATGGTACCAGAAAACTCTCCCTAGTTCTTGGCTTTTCAATTGTCTTGAAGGCTTTACGCTCCTTTTCTAAAATATCTTTTTGTCGGCGAATCTGTTTCATCATCTCTTTCTCATTCTGTTGCTGCAATTGCTTTTGCCTTTCTTCCTTCTCAGTGTTCAACTTTTCTAATTTCTTAAGCACGGTATTTGAAGAATCTGTATTCAAAGAAGCAACAACCTGATTTTCTCCTGGGAGGTGGTACTTTCCGGCTTCCCTGCTGATATCCAAAGTAAGAGGTGGAAGCGTTTCTTCACTTTCTAATAGTTTGCTTCTCTGGACACTTGTGTCTAGTTGGGAGCTCATTTTCAGTGGGTCTTGATGGGGAATATAAAAAAATGTAGGCAAACTATTTGAAACAAAAGGGTCTCTCAGCTGTGGTTTACAGGTAATAGATTCAGAACTGCAAACCAGCTTTTCCTTCATAGCCCCATTCTTTAAATGCACTGAGTCAGAGGGTGGCCCCCTTTGAGTCAATGTATAGTTAGTCTCACTTGCAGCACTGACAGGATAGTCCTGTGGCTCAAAATCTGGACTGCAAGATACCTCAGGTGGTACAAATGGCAAGTCTCTTTCATCTGTAATTATGGGCTCTGGTTTGCTCTTTTGGCTCTCCTCACAGCTCAGAAGTTCCAAGCTTCCGTGCGAGCTTTCACTATCAGGTGTACCCTGCAAAGACTGAAGGCCCTCAGGCATCAGTTCCGTAGACCATCTACGCTCTTCTGAAGGAGACACACCACCGAGAGAACGGACTTTCAGCAATTCTAAGCTAAATATAGCTTGCTCTAGTTCTCTCATTCTCCGACTTTCTCTTTTGGCCCGACTCACTTTTTTCTGGTGGAGATCTTCCAAGGACTTGGGTCTCTCTCTTACAATCACATTTTCCTGCAAGTCCACACCACTTTGACTTCTGGCTCTCTCCTGTCGCTTGTTTGGGGACTCATTCAAGCAGTCCATTGAACTTTCATGACTAATTCGATTACTCTCTATCACAGATTTACATTCCTCAATGGCTTTTACTCTGCTGTCAAATGAACAATCCTCCCATTTTGAAGGGTCTGAACCATGAATTTCCAGAGTCCCATATGGCTTGATACTTGCCAATCCAAGTTCTAGTTTTGCTTCTTTTACTTTTTGTTCTTTCAGAGATTTAAATCTATATCAAAACAGAAAAAAAAAAAAAAACAGGTTAGAGATACTTCTAGGTTACCAATGGAGAGAATAAATTTATTCAGAATTTTTAAAAAGTGAAAAGTCTCAAAAAAATTTTTTTATAATATTAAGCATTTCTTTAACATGGATGCATCTTTCAGCATTCTGTTTCTATAAGTGAGATGATGTTTTATTAAGTATATTATTCCTAATTGGGCACTCTAATCAAAGCATAAGTTAACTCAGAAGCAAAGCTCTCATTTTAATAACATCTTATTTTAAGATAAACCTTAAAAATGAAATTGAAGTTTCTGAAAGTAAAACCAGTTGCAATGTTGCCAATTTTTAAGGATTCAACCCAATGTAAAGTTAATTCTTAGCAGTTATAACCACAGACCATGTAGGTTTGCAATCCAATTTAATTCAATATTATAAACCGCACAATGTGGTTTAAAGCTGCCGGGGGGATCAAAGTCTAGAAGAGAAGACAAATTGTACACAACCAGTTCTAATTCAAGTTAGGCAAATGTTAGAGGAGACATATAAGCAAAGTACTTGAGAAAAGGGGAGTTAATTATTATAGCAATGAAGATTACCTTTGTCTTGCTCTGAATCCTCTATACAGTGACTGCAAAAGGATAATTTTGTTCCTTTGTTCTTGATACTTCTTACTTTCCCTGTAGCCTTTCCATCTTGCCTGTATACAGACAGCGGCCAAGTGTCTCCGCCTACAGCGCTTCCTCCATCTCTGCTGGATGACAATGGCGGCAGTCCGCAGCTCCAAATACCGCTGCCTCTGTAAGTGAGCACGCCAGGAGGCCTGCAGGAGAGTGGCTGCACTTGCCAGAAGTAAAGCATCTTTCTGCACAGCTGCAGCTCTGGCTTGCTTCTGATGTACGTAATTCCTCCAGAATTGCTGTGGGGAAGACAAAATGATAAAACTGGTATCATGTAACACATTTTCACAGAAAAAAGAAATCTCTTACGTCATAACTAGAGATTAAGTAGCTAAACAGCTAAATTGTGGGTGGTTAAAGAAGAAAAAATGTTTTCCAGATATGCTTAGTGAAAATAACAATTTTAGATAATATAACCTTGATGAAGTCAATTATACAACTTAAAATAATTTAATTTTTTGATGATTTCATGCCCTACAAATTAATTTTAATAAATTACATTATATTCTCACCTACAATTTGCCAGTACTAATGGGTCAATGTGTATACATTTCAAAGATTAAAATATTAAAGACTTTCTTGCACAAACAGAAAAGTTTGGAAAGCTGGAAAAGTTGGAAAGCTGTATGGAAAACAGCTGTCAATGAGGAAGAAATCAATGAGGGAGAAAATAAAATATAAATGTAAAATATGAATTTGAGTAATTATAACAATATATGTATCATTTTCAAATATCACCAAGAAAACTAAAAATAACTTTTGTCAACACAAATTAAGGAACATAACTCCTTTGCTCCTAATTATACCTCATAGTACATTATAACTATAAATTCAATTTAATTTCAACTGTACATTAATATATTTACTAATAGTCTATTATTGTACTGCCAGGTAAATCTGTTGGTTACTATGAACATTTAAGAAATGAGAAGGACATAATCGCATTTCTGAAGAAATTCACATTCTTATTTAAATGCTTCACAATAAATCACTTCAAGTTACTAAAACACAGGCTAAATACACTGGTCAATCTCATGCAAAGAATCCTTTACTTCCCACCTGGATGACAACAGACGCCTGTCTCAGATGGAGGAAATGCTGCCTACACAGCAAGACCCTGAACCATCGTTGCAGCAATATGATTCTGCGGAGCACCTCCTGGTGAAGCAGATCCTGTAGGTGTTGTCGTTCCTGCTCCTTTAGGAACACCTACCAGAAGGGAAAAAGATGAAGAATACAGCTTAAGAAGAAACGAGAAATTTATTTAATGCATCGTCACTCCTGTGATGATTCCCATGGTAAGCTTTGTTAGAGAAGAATGGGTACAGCAGCAGACATGTACAAGTAATCCTGATATTTCTATGATTTAGCCAAAGCAGTCATTCTCAAATTGGAAAGGAGGTATTAGAATATAGAAGGGGAACTGGAAAGGTGAGCATAGGTACCAAAATCCCAGTGCCAGAGATTGTGATATATTATTCCCTGGGGAAATTCACTGCTGTCAGGAGCCAATGATTATAATAGTGATAAATAACAATGATCTTTTAAAATCCAGTATGCATCAAAGGCTTCTTTGCTGCCCAGAGATATTCATCAGTGTGTTTATTCACTCTTTCATTCAATTATAAATCTTTAGGAATTTAGGGGGATACAAAGATAAATTAGACACAGTCCCTCTGGAAACAGGATTTGCACCTCAACTTTAAGAGCAGATAGATATTAAAAATGTATATATTTAAGATGTACAATGTGATGTTTTGATGCATGTATAAACACTGTGAAATGATTATCACAATCAAACTAAGAAACATGTCCACCATCTCCCATTTTTGTCAAAAGTTTAAAAGATTTTTAAAAAGGACAGATAGGTATCAGAAACCCACAGAGTGAAACAGTAACCTATCAAGGGCAAGAGACAGAGGACCCTACCTGTGCAAAACAAGGAGCTAGAAATAAGAATGAATGTACATACCGGGGACCATGGAACAATAAAAGAGTATGAATTCACAACATGGAGGTTCTTGAAAAAGAGAAAGATGTTTAATCAGGAGGTTATTGGGTGATTATTACTGAGCAGGAAGCTGACATAAAGAAAGAAGTATATGAAGATGATAATTTTGATACTAAGGACAGAGTGAGTTACACAGAATAACAGGCTGATATCAGATGATGGATCTGTTTACTATAAGAGAAATGTGAGAAATGTGAGAGCTAAGAAACAGAACTAAAATGGAAACAGTAGGAATGTAGGGAAAGGCAGAGATGTGAGAATCATTTGTAAGGAAAAACAATGGAAACAGAACTTTTTTGTAAAAAGATTAAAGTGAAGGGTAAGCCATATATGATTATGGTTTCTAGTCTAGAAACTACAAGAAAGGTGACAGAGAAAAAGAGCAGTTGATTAGTTAAAGACAGAGGCAAATCTGGCTAACGTCACTTTGGGTAAACTGAGTTGAAAATTACAGTAGAATACCTAGAAAGAGATGCTTTTTAAGCAGTTAAAATTATAGGCAGCACTAAAGCATTGGTCATAAGCTCTTTGATTAATACTGACCATCTCATTAACTAAAAATCTTGGTCTAATTAATTTCCTTATAATATCTTGTACATTATCTTTCTTAACATTCTCCTAGGCAAAGACTGCCATTATTTTTTTTTTAAGAAAGAACATAAAGTATCACTTTAATAATATTTTGTATTGGATAATTATTTTTTCTTTTTTTAAATTTATTTACTTTTAATTGGAGGTTAATTGCTTTACAATATTGCGTTGGTTTCAGCCATATATCAACATGAATCAGCCATAGGTACACATATGTCCCCTCCTTAAACCTCCCTCCCACCTTCCACCCTATCGCACCCCTCGAGGTTGTCACAGAGCACCAGATTTGAGCTCCCTGTGTCATCGAGCAAACTTCTATTGGCTGTCTCATTTTAGATTAATTGGTAATTTTAATCTATATTAGTATTTTAACTTTACATTAACGTGATAGTGTATGTGTTTCAATGCTGCTCTCTCAATTTGTCCCGCTCTCTCCTTTCCCCACTGTGTCCACAAGTCTGTTCTCTATGTCTCTGTCTCCACTGCTGCCTACAAAAACATCCTCAGTTTGGACAAGGGCTGTATATATTATATTTACCATGGATTTTCCAACTTGATAATTATCTGGATTAAGATTTATTTTCCTGAAGAAATCCTGAATGTTAAATTTGGATGGAATAATATTTCGGGGAAGAAGTACATGGAAATGGCTCACAAAATCCTGAAAAATGAAAAGAAAATATTGTAAAATCACAGGAGAATTATATGTAAACAAGATCCCAAACAAGTTAATTGTCCTTTTATTGATTTCTGTCTCATTATTTTAAACAGGGTGAAACCAAGAAATGACTTGCTAATTTAAAACATTACAAAAGATTAATTAATTCGTAAAATGGGGGGTAGAGATATCTACATATTGTTATCAAAGCGCAAGAAAAGGACAGAAATTAATTCTCCCTTTGAAAAAGCTATACTAAAGACCAAAGAAAAAGTTACTTAATAAGGTTCTGAAATTTTTAGCAGAAAAATAAGGAAAGGTGGCAGCTATCTCAGGTTATAACTGAAAATAAAGCTTTCCCTCAACAGTAAAGATGTGCTCAGCTTCTGAAAAGCTTCAAAATAATTTCTATACCCATAGCAGCAGCAGCTCATGAAAACAGCTGAAAGCCTTGCTGGCAGCATACTATGGAAAAAAAATTCTGCTGCGAAAACTTTAGGGAAAATCAAAAGCGATCTTTTCTTTTGAACTAGATTGCTGATTATAGTATTTCAGTTACTGGAGTAATCACTGTGAAGAACTGCCATGTTATGAGTGAACTTACATAAGCAAACATTCAGATCAAATGAGAATAGCCAAGAAGTGGAATCTATTACAACATAAACTTAATGATATTGCTGTCAGTCAATGGAAATGAGTATTCTCTATCCCTCATCAATTCTGTATATGAAAGATAGAATGGGGAGGAGGATTAAGAGAAATAAACAAGTAAGTCCCAAATGAAAAATAAGCAAGACACAAGACTAATTTACTTGATGTACATACATATTTAAATATCACTATAAAAGCATAACCTGGAAAGAATATTTGCAACTGTATCCTGATTGGCGAATTCGAACTGTCTCCAGCATCCCAGTGTACCGAAGCTGTCTAAGCACCAAGGCATCACTGAACCTTAATGGTAACTAAAACAAAGCAAACAGAAAAAGGGTTAACCCAGAAGAACAGATCTCCAAAGTTATGTTTGTTTTGTAAGTGTAGTTAAATTCTGAATATCTAGGAACTGACTGGAGGTTGTCTGGTTAAGATATAGCAGAGGCAATGAGACAATCTTACCTCCACAACTGGTAGCTTCAGAAAAGTTCTGACTGCCTGACTAAAGGGAAAAAAAAGAGACACCAAACTTCCAGGCTTCACTACTTGCAGAAGAAAAGCACCCTCAAAACTCAAAAGGAAATGTTGCTGCCCACAGGCCACAGAGTTTAGTCACTATAAAATCTGTAACAAAATTAACTTACTTATACATAGTTAAGAGTATTTTTGTTGAGATTTTACCCACCATCTCACTCAGAAACCACCTACTCTACAATCTTCCAGCTGCCTTAACTTGAGAGCTGACAGATTCATCTTCTATGACTAGTACAAGATTAAGAGCAGTTATCTCCCTAAAGAGTTTTTGCTGATGATCCTGTAAGGCACCCTGGAAAATAAAAAATTCCTGTGTCCCTCATCACCAGTCACTCCTAGGTATCTCTTAGGTGTGTTTTTAGACATTCAAAAGAAGATGTATTTGAAATTTCTGGTATTTCTCCTTATTCTCTAAATACCACTTTCAATTTTTCACTAAGGAAATCCCAAACACTTTCCTGCAGAAAGACAGAGCATACCAACTGTCAAGAAAAAAGTCAAGTGGGCAGCTTATGTTAAACAATAGCAGTTAACGTTTATTTAGTACTTATTCTGTGTCCTTAAATACCTTATTAACTGAACTCTTTGTAGAACAAGGTCTCAATAACAGGGACTCAAATTTCTCTTTAACTGTAAATAAAGTTTCCCTTTTTGTCACCATAAAAGAACCAACCATTAAGGAATAGCTAACATTTACTAAGCACTTACTAGGGGCCAGGAACATTCTAAGTACTACACAGGTTTTTTTCTCATGTACTCACAAAACACTTATGAAGTGTCCTACAATTACAGTATATTCTTACACATACGAAATTATTTAAGGCACAGAGAGGTCATGCAACTCATCTAAGACCACAAAACTTGTAACTGGCAAAGCTGGAGACTCCTTCTTAAGAATTAAGGAAGTTGAACCTAATTTCCTACTAAATTTCAGAAGTTTGGGCTGGAACTATTTTTTCCTATGATGGACACAAAGACGACAAATGCTTACACTTAATAGATATATTTTGCAAAGCTCTAATTAGGGGAACTGTCATATAAAACAAGAAGGAAATCAAGAATGTCCAGAGTAACCTATTTTAAAGAGACAAGAATCTAAACATGAAAAATGCCAGGCAAGTTCTGTAAGAGTGATTGATTAACACCTTATGTCTGAATAAGAGATTAATCTTAGGGTAACAAAAGTTGCAAAAAATTATTTTGTATAATGAAATTTCAAGAGATTTTTGCTTCTGTAGCTGATGCTAAATTCTAGAAAATGCTAAATTGAGTTTATATAAATAGTTCATAGGCAGGTAAGTGAGGAAATTAGAAGGCTATCCATAGAAAATTCAGAATACCGTTTTCCTTACAAAGATTATAAACAGCTCTTCGCTTCCACATATCCTCCTTAGAATGACTTTAAAGTTTGGTTTGAAGTAAGCCAAGCTAGAAGCTCTCATTCAAGGGACATTCTTACCTTTTCAGCATTAGAGCGAATGCATTTTACAAAATAAGGTTCTGCTTGACCAAGTGTTTCCATCAGCTTGCTTAATGAGGCCTGCAATACAAAGCAATAGTTAGCACTGTCTCTCATTCCAAACTGGACACAAATGATTTATGATGTTGGTAAAATATGCAAAAACAAGTGACAAACACAGAACCAGGTTTGTTTCTGAAAAGCAAACTGTGTACAATGCCATACTGATTAAACTGAGGCCAGTTAAGGACAAGGATGGCAGTTTAACCTTAAAGCTGAGAGACTGGTAATGGCAAATACTGTAAATAATTTTATAGTCAACTAAATATATGATGGGGGCTTCCCAGGTGGCTGAGTGGTAAAGAATCCACCTGCCAAGCAGGCAACATTTCAATCCCTGGTTTGGGAAGATCCCCTGGAAAAGGAAATGGCAATCTACTCCAGTATTCTTGCCTGGGAAATCCCATGGATAGAGGAGCCTGGCGGGCAACAGTCCTTGGGGTCCCAAAGAGTTAGACATGACTTAGCAACTACACAGCAAGCCTACATTTTTTTACTTTTCTTCAGATTTCATGAAACAATTTTATTCAAATGCATGCAGTATTAGAGCAACTTGGGGAAAACCATTCAGTAGGGCAGCAGTCCCCAACCTTTCTGACACAAGGGGCCAGGCTCACGGAAGACAGTTTCTCCATGAACTGGAGCCGGGTGGGAGGGGGATAGTTTCAGGATGATTCAAGTGCATTACATTGATTGTGCACTTTATTTCTATCATCATGACATCAGCTCCACCTCAGATTATCAGATATTAGATCCCAGAGGTTGGGGACTCCTGTAGTAGGATATCCAGGAAGGTAGTAGTCGTCTGCTTCAATTTTAACCTTTAAGTATATAACGACGTTCCCTCTTCCATTCCTGATGCTGATTATTTGTGCTTTGCCTGTTTTTTCCAGGTTAGTCTAACTGGAGGTTTATAAATTTTCTGATAGTTTCAAAGAACCAGATTTTTTATTTCATCAGGTTTTCTCTTATTATTTTTCTGTTTTTCATTTCATTGATGATTCTACTTTATCATTTCACTCCTGCTTGCTGTGGGTTTAATGTTTTTCTTTTTCTAGTTTCCTAGGGTAGAACCTTAGACTACTGACATGAGGCTTTTACTTTTTCTAATAAGAGAATTTATTATTATATATTAACTTTGGAATATTACTTTAGGTGCACTGCACAAATTTTGATGCTTTAATCTCATTTCTTTTTAAAATACTTAAAAATTTTTCAGTCCCCTTTGACTATAGAGAGTAAAAATTTACAACAGTATAAACTTACATTTAGCCCCTCCCTTCTGTGCTACTTTACCATATGTCTTATTTGTACCATACAACATACTAGTATTTTTGTCTTCTACAATCATCTTTTTTTAAAGATTCAAAGAAGAAAAAACTTTTAATAGTTACATTCTGTCATTCTGGCAATCTCAATGTTTTGTATAGATCCAAATTCTGTGGTTTTCTCATTATTTTTATTCCAAATTTAGCATTCTTACATTGTAGATTTCCTGGAACTGCAATCTCTCAACTTTTGTTTGTCTAAAAAAGTCTCTAACCTTCATTACTCACTTGTGCAGAGAATTTTAGAGTGACAATTTTTTTTTTCTTTCAGGCTTTTAAAAACACTACTCTTGAATTCTGGCTTTCATAGTTTATGATGAGAAACATACTGTTTTTCTTATTTTCATTTAATAGAACATAAATATCTTTTTTCTTTGGTTGTATTTAAAGTTTTCTTTTTTTAACTGGTTTTAGCAATTTGATGTGATGTGTCTTGATATGCTTGGCGGGGAGGTGTTTTGCTTGGGGCTTGTTGAGATCCTTTGATATTTGAGCCTACGTTATTCATAAAAATCAGAAAATATTTTGGTCATTATATCTTCAAAATTTTTTCTGTATCCCCCTCTTCTGCCTTTCCTTCTTAGATCTATGTTCAATGACTTAATACAAGCTGCTAATGCTTTTTTTCATTTTTTTCCCCATCATTGTTTATTACATCTCACTGCATTTTAAAGTAAATGTAAACTCTAATTCACTATTTCGGCACTAATCCCAACTAGTTTATTTCATTTCCAAATATTACAATTTTAATCTCTGAAATGATTAATCATTTGTGTCTTTTTCCTGTCTTCTATTTTTTTCTCATTATTATTCACATTTTTCTTATATCCCTGGACATACTTATATGGTTTATAATAATTATTTAAGATCCTCATCTACTATTTCCATCATCTTTGTTATTTTTACAATCTGTTTCTAATGATTAATTTTTCTGTCATGCTATGGGTGGTTCTTTCCCTGATTCTTCACATGCCTAATAATTTCAGACTGGACACTGGAGTGATTTTATATTCTTTGATTTTGCTGTATTTCTTCAAAGAGCAACAGACAGTTGCCCCTGGGGTTGAGTTACACAGGATCATTTTGATTCTTTTAAGACTTACTTTTATTAAGCTTTGTGAGGGTAGGCTCAGAGCAAAACCTTTGGCATTTGTTTGGGCTCCCTCTCCCTGGGCTACAGCAAATTATCTTTGTGCAGTAACCTGGGACTTGCCTCATTTATTTCCCTTTTCTCAGGGATCATAATCCTGTAATGCTTATTGTCTGATAACTAAAAACACTCTATTTTTACTTTTTGCCTAGTTTTCTAGATGTTCATAATAGAAGGGTAATTCCTATATCAGTTAATCCTTCATGAGTTCTACAATTTCACTTTGATGAAAAGAAAAATTCATTCACAAGAAGGGTGTGAAGTCATAGACACCTGGCTGCCATCCATCTTCATCACTTCTAATTTCCTCATCTGTACAATAAGAATGATGGTATTTAGCTCACAGAATTGGAGGAAAAATAGATAATGCATATGTATAAATATTTAATAAGGAATATGGCAAATGTAGTACATTCATCATTATGTTTCTGGATGGTAAGTGATTTTCATTTGTTTTTGTTCACTGTATTTTCTAAATAATAAAAAGTTTAGAAAAAATAATTCATTACTCTTATAATATTTAACAATGTATTAGAAACATTACAGATGACTCTTTGTAAATGTTAAATATAATACATGAATATAATTTGAAAATATCCATAATTCCTGAATTTGGGGGATTTTATGGGACATTATAGGACTGTAATTAAGCTTTAACTGTAGTAGCTATAACGAGTATTCTTCCGATTAAAGACTGAGTTTGATAAAGAGGCACCTGTAAAAGAACCAAGATGATAAAACAAAGGAGACAATAGCTTAATGGTTCTACTCGTCCTAATCATGCAAAGGAGACTAATGCTTCCTTAGATAAACAGGGCCAAGCAACACCTCTCTCTTTTTAAATAATCAAATACCATTAAGCCATAGGATTGTGATTTAAGAAGGCCTGTGTAAAATTCATGGCAGAGCTTCCATCATATATTCAATTGTCTTTCCTTTAACTTTATTAGGACCTAGTAAGTTATTTGGCTCTTTAATCTTGTTTTTTTTTTTTTTTTGAAGAAAAAACATTGGACCAAGTAGCTTTTATAGAATCAAATTTTTCTCTGGGCCTATGGTGAAAATTGTCTAAAATAAATGACATTTCTAGCTTATAGGTTGAAGGACTGTGCTTATAAATCAAACAAGATCATATCCAGTGACATGTTAGTAGATAATTTACATTTAGATATCCTGGATTAAAACAGAACACTGAAAAAGTGCTAAAAAATAGAAATATAGCTATCAGTAGATAAAGAAATTTTTAGTTAACAATGCTTTAGTTAGTACTGCTTCTGTGAGTGATAAAGCACAAGGTAGAAAAAAATTATCTAAAATACCATTACCCTTCAGATTTTCAGCTCATTTTCATAAATATCTAGCAAGTGAACAGAATATTAGAGATAATCTGATAAGAAGAGGAAAAATGAAGAGTATTTTGAAATTAATTCTGGAGGTGATTTCGTTAATTTATTATGATTGCATTTATTCCTAAATGCACAGTCACAATAAAATGATCCAGATTCCTATATATACAAAACTAAAATAAAAAGTCAAGAAAAACCTTACAATTCCATTTAGTTAAATAATGATGGCACTAGCATGCGGTTTAAACATACAGAGAAAAAAAACATACATCATGGTGTTAACAGTGCCACATCTGGGCAGTCAACTTTCTGGTGCTTTTCTCCTCAAGCTGAATATAACGAATTCCTCTTTGGGATACGTACTCCCCAGAGATGAATAAAAGCACCTGATCTTTCTCCCATCTTTGGTACTTCCAACCAAAATGGCCATTCTACTATAACTTTTTAGTTGCATGAATCTTGCAGATCACTGACTTTCTGATGACAATCTGAACAAAACAGATTCCTCTTTGTTAAAAATAAAAGGAAAAAAAAGTAAATAGGAAACAACCTGAAACTGGGCACTGATGCTGGGAGGTTTCTTCTTCTTGTGCAAATGAAGAAGAGACTTGGTAATGCGATCCTGCAGGGTCAATCTTGTCAGATGCTTTAAAGACTTTACTTCTAGCAAATGCTGAAAAACAAGGGGAAGAAATCAAATTCTTCACATAAATTGATCTAAGAATAGGAAAAACAAAGTTGTAAGCCAGTATTTATTATTCCTATGTATGACTGCGGTGAATATGGGAGATTAATATTCAATATCCACTCTACACATCTTCTGCTTTCTGGCAGAAGTTGTTCAGCTAAAAAACAAACTGCATTTCTCAAACTCTTACATCTCAGGTGCTAGATGTGATTTAAGTTCCTCTATTCCCACACATTAAACTGGGAAGGTCTAATCAAGACAGATTCAAGAGATTAGATCTGATAGACAGAGTGCAGAAGAACTATGGACGGAGGCTTGTGACACTGTACAGGAGGCAGGGATCAATACCATCCCCAAGGAAAAGAAATTCAAAAAGACAAAATGGCTGTCTGAGGAGGCCTTAAAAATAGCTGTGAAAAGAAGAGAAGCAAAAGGCAAAGGAGAAAAGGAAAGATACACCCATCTGAATGCAGAGTTCCAAAGAATAGCAAGGAGAGATAAGAAAGCCTTCCTCAGTGATCAATGCAAAGAAATAGACGAAAACAATAGAATGGGAAAGTCTAGAGATTTATTCAAGAAACTTAGAGCTACCAATGGAACATTTCATGCAAAGATGGACACAATAAAGGACAGAAATGGTATGGACCTAACAGAAGCAGAAGATATTAAGAAGAAGTGTCAAGAATACACACAATAACTATACAAAAAAGATCTTCAAGACCCAGATAATCACGATGGTGTGATCACCAACCTAGAGCCAGACATCTGGGAATGCGAAGTCAAGTGGGCCTTAGGAAGCATCACTACAAACAAAGCTAGTGGAGGTGACGGAATTCCAGTTGAGCTATTTCAAATCCTAAAAGATGATGCTGTGAAAGTGCTGCACTCAATATGCCAGCAAATTTGGAAAACTCAGCAGTGGCCACAGGAGTGGAAAAGGTCAGTTTTCATCCCAACTCCAAAGAAAGACAATGACAGAGAATGCTCAAACTACCGCATTTTTGCACTCATCTTACATGCTAGTAACGTAATGCTCAAAATTCTCCAAACCAGGCTTCAACAGTACATGAACCGTGAACTTCCAGATGTTCAAGCTGGATTTAAAAAAGACAGAAGAACCAGAGATCAAATTGCCAACATCTGTTGGAGCATCAGAAAAGCCAGAGAGTTACAGAAAAACATCTACTTCTGCTTTATGCCAAAGACTTTGACTGTGTGGACCACAACAAACTATGGAAAATTCTTAAAGAGATGGGAATATCAGACCATCTGACCTGCCTCTTGAGAAATCTGTATGCAGGTCAGGAAGCAACAGTTAGACTGGACATGGAACAACTGACTAGTTCCAAATAGGGAAAGGAGCACGTCAAGGCTGTATACTGTCACCCCACTTATTTAACTTATATGTAGAGTACGTCATGAGAAACGCTGGGCTGGAGGAAGCACAAGCTGGAATCAAGATTGCTGGGAAAAATATCAATAACCTCAGATATGCAGATGACACCACCCTTATGGCAGAAAGCAAAGAAGAACTAAAGAGCCTCTTCATGAAAGTGAAAGAGAGTGAAAAAGTTAGCTTAAAACTCAACATTCAGAAAACTAAGACCATGGCATCTGGTCCCATCACTTCATGGCAAATAGATGGGGAAACAGTGGAAATAGTGACAGACTTTATTTTTGGGGGCTCCAAAATCACTGCAGATGGTGACTGTAGCCATTAAATTAAAAGACGCTTGCTCCTTGGAAGAAAAGTTAGGACCAACCTGGACAGCATATTAAAAAGCAGAGACATTACTTTGCCAACAAATGTCCATCTAGTCAAATCTATGGTTTTTCCAGTAGCCATGTATGGATGTGAGAGTTGGACTATAAAGAAAGCTGAGCACTGAAGAATTGATGTGGTGTTGGAGAAGACTCTTGAGAGTCCCTTGGACTGCAAGGAGATCCAACCAGTCCATCCTAAAGGAAATCAGTCCTCAATATTCACTGGAAGGACTGATGTTGAAGCTGAAACTCCAATACTTTGGTCACCTGATGCAAAGAACTGACTCATTGGAAAAGACCCTGATGCTGGGAAAGGTTGAAGGCAGGAGGAGAAGGGGACAACAGAGGATGGGATGGTTGGACGGCATCACTGACTCAATGGACATGAATTTGAGTAAACTCTGGGAGTTGGCAATGGACAGGGAGGCCTGGCATGCTGCAGTCCATGGGGTTGCAAAGAGACACTACTGAGCGATTGAACTGAACTGACTGAACCAAGGCAGAGGGTTTTGCTACTAGCTTGTTTCTGCTGGCAAACATGTATACAAAAGTACTTCAGCCTTCTGTGGCCCTAGTGTCCAGGCACTACTTTTCAGTGTTGAGAAGCAACAGGCAGGGCATCTGTGTTGTCTCTGCAACTCTAGTAAAAGCACCTTAGTACAGAAGCCAATAATTATAGCAGCTTCTTCATGAGGCTGGAAGCAGGTACATGATCACAGCTTCCTCATTTTCTAGCTTTTGGAGTACAGCTGAGGTCAGGTCTGCTCTGTAACTTCTGACGATTTCTGTAAGCACCTCTTTGAATTAAGACCCTTTATACTTAAAAGGGGGACTTCCCTGGTGACTCAAATGGTAAAGAATCCACCCTCAATGCAAAAGATCCAGATTCACTGCCTGGGTCAGGAAGATCCCCTGGAGAAGGGAAGGGCTACCCACTCCAGTATTCTTGCCTAGAGAATTCCATGTACAGAGGAGCCTGGTGGGCTACAGTTCATTGGGTCGCAAAGAGCTGGACACCAAGGAGCAGGATCTTCTTTTACTACTTAAAACATATCCATAGTGATGAGTAACTTGCAATTGAATCCTGACTCATAGAGACAATAAATTAAATTCAATCCCTAGACTATACAGTAAGTAAGCCAGGAACACATAAACAGGGAAAAAACAAAAAAAAAACAGTCCCTTATCAACCTGCATCCTAAGTCCTAATTATTAATAATATAGGAGTTACACATAAAGCAACTAAAGAATACAAAACAGGGTATTAATAAAGGATTTTGGAGCTTCTTTTAGCCAATCACTAATCAATTTTGAAAATCCTACTAATTTATGGCAGTGAGTTTGTCAATGGAAAGAACGTTTCTATACAGATGCACAATCTTATGTTATTTACAAAGCAGAAAAAGTTTCATTGTATGAGAAGCAGAGATTGGAGCTAAAAGCATGATAAATATAGAAGACTAAATAGTATTAATTTTGACAAAAAACAAAAACTTCCCAAGTGGTAATGTAAGTATAATACACATTTAAATAGTTCTACCTAAGGAAAAAAAAAATTCTCCAACAAACACTTACCACCTATATATAAGAACGGTAAAGGAAAAAAAATGCTTTAAAGAACATGTCCCGTGATCATAAATGAGCAGAAGACTTCAACAGGCAGTTCTCAAAATATACATGACAGGGAACATAATGACAATCAATCTCGCTTTAATCAAAGAAACACACGTTTTCTTTAAGGAGATTTACTGCACGTTCAATTGGCAAACATATAAAGACCGATAAAATCCAGTATACATAAAACAGGCATATTTATGTATTGTTCTTAAGAATGAAAATCCTTATAACATTCCTGATATTAAGCAATTTCATGTCTAGGTATTTATCTAAGGAGAGATCGAATATAACTTCTGAAAATGTACTTCAAAAATATAGTGAAAAATTCTGACTAATGAACTACACGAAACTTTTTTCATGAAGTTCATCCACACAACTGAACACTGTACAACTCCTAAAAATACTATAAACCTATATTCTGACATGGAAAAATATCTGCAAATACTCTTGACCAAAAAAAGGCACACAAAACAATAATATATTTACACAAATATATAATGGCATGTGGTGTGTTGAATTTTCAAAGTTTTTACTTAAGTTTAAATCCTTCCCTTCATGGAATTTAATTGGAAAAGTCAAACAAACCAAAAACAAAAAATCCACATTCATTCTTATCTCCAGATCTTTCCAATTTTTTCATTTGTTTGGAATATTAGACCTTTACATGGGTTGATTGTTCTTAGTATTCAACTTATAGCTTAAATACCCAAACTTTTTCATAAAGTTATTACTTGCATACCCCAAAAGCAGCCCACCTGTATGCTAATAACATGTCATTTCATCTTAATCTTTTATTGTTTTTCTCTTTCTCTCAAAGCATCACTACAAGACAGCAAGAGTTCTTAGACTAGACTGCTTACCCCTGTACTAACAAAGTCTAAAACAGTGTCTGGTTCTGCATGTGCCATGCTCAGATGCTCAGTCGTGTCTGACTCTTTGCAACCCCACAGACTGTAGCCCACCAGGCTCTGCTCCATAAACAAGCTCCAGGCAAGCATACTGCAGTGGGTTGCCATGCCCTCCTGCAGGGGATCTTCCCAACCCAGGGACTGAACCCAGGCTTGGGTTCAATCTCCCGCATTGCAGGCAGATTCTTTACTGTCTGAACCACCAGGAAAGCCCCTGGTTCTGCAAACTTAGCTGGATGAAAGAAAGAATGGTTAACAAGTAATGATTTTTGACACTGTTTCCTCAGACTTCTGTCCATGAAACTCATCACGATTAGATCCAACAAGAAATATTCAGTGATTACTACAGATCCAGTTCTGTTCTAAGTGGTCAGAATACACTGCATTCAAGTACAAGGAAAGAGACTATAAGGACATTAGAAAAAATGATAATCTCAGGGTTATTCTGATTTATGAAGATAAAACAGTGCAAGGAAGAATGGAGATATAAGGCAGAGCAGAACAAGGCAGTGGACAGGAGGCTAAGAAGGCAAGAAAGAGATAAAACCAGTTAAGGGACAGCTTCAATAGCCCAGCATGACGTGACAAGGACTGAAATGCGGGTCCAAGATCTAGCAGAAAACAGATATGGATTTAATTCCTTTCTTAGGTCTTCTGTTCATTATCTACTTTATTCCTTTCTTAACTCCATCTTCATTGTTCAGTTTATTCAATTAGTCAGTTCTTTCTTTTTTAAACAATTATTGACTGCCTGCTGTGCAAGGTGCTGCAACACAAAGATTAAGAAGATACTGCTCGTGCTGTTAAAGAGCACTAAAATGGATGATAAACTCATCTTCAAGGCTGAGCCTGAGTGACTGCAAGGTTCAGTAGGGGAGTGACACAGCAAAACCGGTCAGGGCTGAGACAGGAGCAGGATGTCAAGTCCGATATGAGCAGGATGTCACAGTAGAAATGTACAACAGTGGAGCTAGACTAGAAATTTAGAGACATTTAGAAAGACTAGAAATTTAAAGACAGATCAAATTATACAGATATATTTAATAGAAGTGATTGATGGTTTCAAGGTATGAGAGGGAAAGTACTCTCTAGAAGAAAAAAGTACTATCAAAACAGAACTATATTAACAGAGAGCTAAGGGCTATTGGGAATACCAGACCATCTCTTGAGATCTGCCTCTTGAGAAACCTGTATGCAGGTCAGGAAGCAACAGTTAGACTGGACATGGAACAACTGACTGGTTCCAAATAGGAAAAGGAGTATGTCAAGGCTGTATATTGTCACCCTGCTTATTTAACTTACATGCAGAATACATCATGAGAAACGCTGGGCTGGAGGAAGCACAAGCTGGAATCAAGACTTCTGGGAGAAATACCAATAACCTCAGATATGCAGATGACACCACCCTTATGGCAGAAAGTGAAGAGGAACTAAAACGCCTCTTGATCAAAGTGAAAGAGGAGAGTGAAAAAATTGGCTTAAAGTTCAACATTCAGAAAACTAAGATCATGGCATCTAGTCCCATCACTTCATGGCAAATAGATGGGGAAACAGTGGAAACAGTGTCAGACTTTATTTTTGGGGGCTCCAAAATCACTGCAGATGGTGATTGCAGCCATGAAATTAAAAGATGCTTACTCCTTGGAAGGAAAGTTATGACCAACCTAGACAGCATATTAAAAAGCAGAGACATTACTTTGTCAATAAAGGTCCATCTGGTCAAGGCTACGGTTTTTCCAGTGGTCATGTATGGGTGTGAGAATTGGACTGTGAAGAAAGCTGAGCACCGAAAAATTGATGCTTTTGAACTGTGGTGTCGGAGAAGACTCTTTTGAGAGAGTCCCTTGGACTGCAAGGAGATCCAACCAGTCCATCCCAAAGGAGATCAGTCCTGGGTGTTCATTGGAAGGACTGATGCTGAAGCTGAAACTCCGATACTTTGGCCACCTCATGCAAAGAGTTGACTCATTGGAAAAGACCCTGATGCTGGGAGGGATTGGGGGCAGGAGGAGAAGGGGACGACAGGGGCTGAGATGGCTGGATGGCATCACCGACTCGATGGACATGAGTTTGAGTAAACTGGGAGTTGGTGATGGACAGGGAGGCCTGGCGTGCTGCGATTCATGGGGTCGCAAAGATTCAGACATGACTGAGCAACTGAACTGAACTGAAGGGCTGTTGGAGGTTACTTACATGTGTTTAATATTTGCCTGCATTTATTCAGAATTGTAAAAAAAAAAAAAGCATTCTAAATCTTACCTTTATCAATAAAATGAGATGCTAGAGGTGCCCTTAATACAAGTGACTGAACCTTATTTCCATAGCAATAAAAGTTGTAGGAATACATACATCAGTGATTCACACTCAAGGTAACAAAGCAGTTTCGGATTTCACAAAAGAGCAAAAGGGAAAAAAAGTTTAGGTTATCTGCATTGCTGCCGCTTCCTTCCACACCACGTATAAAACTAAATGCAACAGAAATATCTTAGTTAGAAACGACCATGGTTAATGAGGACCTAGGATCTGCTAATTTAATTTTATAAATATAAAAATTTATTTTGCCTTGATTTGAACTGGACTGAAAGAAACAAGCAAAACATTCACTAAGCATAATTAGAAAAAATAAGGTATATTTAAATAAGGGTAGGAAACCAAGATGAAGAGTGAGATTATTTAACAAACTACACATTATACATATATGTATGCACACATATAAGCCACAAATTCAACTCTAACAAAATGGTAGACAATATGAAGAAAATAATCATTTACTGAACACTAATCACGCACATGGGCTGCCCTGGTGGCTCAGTGGTGAACACCTGTTGCCAAAGCAAGAGACAGAGGTTTGGTCCCTGAGCCAGGAAGATCCTCTGGAGTAGGAAACAGCAACCTACTCCAGGATTTTTTTTTTTTTCCACTCCAGGATTCTTGCCTGTGAAATCCCATGGACAGAGGAGCCTGGTATGCTACAGTCCACGAGGTCACACAAGAGTTGGACACGACTTAGCAACAACAATAATCATGCACATACCCAATATATGTATTTCATCTTAACGTATATTATCCCCCACATTACAAATGAAGCGACAGAAGTTAAGACAAGTTAGAGAATTTACTCCAAAGATCAGAGAGCAAGTAACAACAGATCCATCATTTAAATGTAGGTCAGTTTTACTCCAAGGTCTATACTCTCATAGACTATGTTGCCTCTCTAATACTAAATATATGTACTTGAATACACAAGACACTAAAATAAACAAAAAATTAGCTATATTTAATTTTAAAAAATTGAGAAATAGATGGGATTCCTGTGATTGATAACTGAATAGAATTATTGACTTCAGATATATCTAACATATTCTTGTTGACTATCATATGAAGTTTAAGAAGTTACAAAACAGTGTGTATATAGATACAAGGAGTCACTTTGCTGTATAGCAGAAATTAATACAACACTTTAAATCAACTATACTTCAATTAAAAAAAATAAGTTATCCATCCAAAGAGAATGAAAAGAACAGGGCAAACACTAGATCCACAGGTGGCATTCAAAATTCTAAAAGGCTAATGAGACAGTGAAAGAAAAAAAAAAAGGAACACAAATGAGGAGGAGAGGTCTCCTTTCCTCTCTACATAAAATTTTTCATGATAAGAACATAATCACAAACCACTCAGTAAATTTTCTTTGTGGTTTAAAACACATTTGCCACTACCACAAACCACATCAGCAATGCATTCAATTTTCTTTGGAAATATAAGACGACTTAAGTAGAAGGAAAAACTACAGATTCATTTTCTTGTTTCTTAAACTAGAGAATTTTAAAAATAAACAGCTCTTTTTCAGTTCTTTTAAAATTTTTGAGTTACGTTCATTAACAAAGTTAATGACAGGACTCCTTTGGAACGGCACAAGAGAAAGAAAAACTCTAAGACTGTTCTTTAATAAATCTAATAAACATTTTGGCATGCAGATTAGAGTAAGCAAATTACAAGTCCTGGACCAAATTATGCCCATTGTTTTTATAAGATTTCTATGGTTGAAAAAAATTATATGAAATTCAAGTTTCAGTATCCATAAATAAAGTTTTATTGGAATACAGTCACAGTCATTCAGTCACATACTGTCTACAGCTGCACTTGTGCTAGGACAGCAGAGCCAAGTAGTTATAACCCAGCCCAGATGAGCCTGCCAAGTCTAACTGGACCTTTACAGAAAAACCAGGCTAACTAATGTTAATGATGATGACAGAAATTATTTTTAAATCAGATAAAATTTTAAAATTTCTTAATTAGATAAAATTCAGAATGTCTCCTTAACCTGATTTAAGGAGGAATGAAAAAAATCTATGCAGAGGCAATTACTCAACAAAAATTCACATTTATATTCAGAAGCTTTTCAAACACTAGGAAGTGAGATATATCACAAATATTTACCAGCATTAAGCTTTGCCATTTCATAACAACATCCAGCATTATTGCTAAAATGGTTTTAACTGAACATACACAATTAATCTGTATTTTGGGTACAAATAAGATATTTCTTGTTTATGATTTCTAAAGATTGTTTGCATGAATAAAAAAAAAGAACATGAATAAAAAAAAAGAATCATGAAGTGAAGTACAAAGGAGAAAATATTTTCATAATACTCACCTTTGGAAGCCCAGGTTTGGATTTGAAATTTTTGTTTCTCCTATAGAGACAAATCTTACATTAGAAGGAAAAAAAAAGAAAAAAAAAACAACATCGGAAAGATGAATTTCAAGTTCTCTACAAAAAGAACATTATATACCCACTTCCAAGTTATAGGTCCTTTAAATGAAACACTGTCTAATTCAACTAAGCAGGCACCTTTGGGAAGGAAGGATAAGCAAAGTAAAGACATGCCTGCTCCATAATACAGGTACGAACAGATTGAGCTTGATGATCAGTAACATGATGTAGATTCAAAGCTCAAGTTTCATTTTCTTTTGGACCCTAACAGGGCTCTGCATTCTTAACCTACAGAGGCTTTGTTTCTGTCATTTTAAACTTAAAAAGATGCTTAATCTCATGAATTATTAAAATGTACTTTTCACTAAGACTTATGATCTTCCATTTTCAGAAACTAAAAATTCTGCTCTGCCCTTTTATTCCTTATTCATAATTCAATATCACACTTTGATCAAACCTTTTTTTTTTTTAATGGCTACAAAAAAGGAATAAAACCCAGTGCTTATGAACATGGGCTGGGGAATCAGGAAGACCTGGGCTTGTTGAATCTGAGTTCTATCACCTTCCAAGGTATGATTTTAATCTCTTTAAAACTTGGTTTTAAAGTTGTAAAACATGGTTTTAAACATGTAAAAAGATAATGTAAGACAATGTAAGAATGATAATACTATCAACCTCACAGAGTTGCTTTGAGGATTAAATGAGTTTATTCACAATTCTGAAATGTAGCATGACATAAATTGAGCCTATTAGCACTGTTAAGAGATGATTCAGGGATTAAGAAATATAATCCAGTCACACTTCTAGCTAATGGTTTAAAAATATGCTTTGGAAGTGTTTTAAATATATTGATATAGGTAGGCAAGAACTTTTTACAGGTCCACCATGCATGGTTAATACCTATATGCTGAACCCAGTTCTGTATCAGGTAAGGAGAAATAGCAGGTTTTGGCAAGTATTATGTATTACCATACAGGTGCCCCTTGAACAACATGAGTTTAGACTGTAAGGGTCCAGTTACACATGGAATTCTTTCAACATGAACTACAACAGTACTACTTGATCTGAGATTGGCTGAATCTGTGGATGTGGAATCACAGATACTGAAGAGCAGTGGATATGGAGGGCTGACTATAAGAAACACATATATTTTCCATTGTGCAGAAGGTTGGCACCTCTAACTCAAGCACTGTTGAATGGTCAACTATATGTGGTCCCGTTCACCATTTTGTAAGAGATTTTACCTGCCCAACTTGTTAAGGGCAAGGCAAGTTTTTAACTTGCGGTTAAAAACTAGGAATCCTAAAAAAAAAGCTAACAGTATTTGCTCTCTCCGGATGTAGAGTCTGTTAAAGAGCAATAAAGAATCATCTCCATAAGTATATTCAGTCATGATCTCCTAGTAAGATGAAAACAAATACCAGCTTTATAATACATGAGACTGTCACAGTTCTAAATTCTGACTACTTTTCAATCTTGTTTCAGTTAAAATTCTACTCATGAAAATAATGCTTCACAATTACCTCTCTTCAGCCAGAAATTTTAAATCATTTATAAAAAAGGCAAGCCATATTGTTGATCAATACTAACGTGAGAATCCCATGGGCTCTCTCCAAGAGTTTGCTGCTAGCTGAATTAGCGAATATCCCATCTTTATCAAGCAAGGAGGTGTTACTTGATAGTTTACTCTGGCGAATCCCAGTTCTGCCATTCCAGGCAAAATCAAATGTTTCACTGTAAAAATTAAATATAGGACAATTTCCTTAATTGAGACATCCCTAACATTCCAGAAATTTCTTTTAAAAGTAAAACAAAGCTTTAAACACTGAAGTTAAAACTTAACTTTACTTAAAAAAGTAGAACAAAGCTTTAAACACTGAAGTTAAAATTTAGAAAAAATGCTAAACCAGCAGAAAATGGTTTTATCAAAGAGATTACTGATCAATTTGGGCTAATCTTTTAGTCTCTCAGAACCAAATATTTCTAAGATTCTACCACATTCACATTCAAAAGTACATGATGAGCACACCATATAGCTATATGTACCATTTAACAATCAGTAAATAATATAATGTATTATAAGATACTGTCATGTCTTTTGTCTTTGTTTCAGGTCCAAAATCCCTATCCTTTAAAAAGTATATATTAGCCCAAGTGTAACCACTTCTTTGAGTTTCACTTCATTTCTGAGGATATACAATGTACGTAAAATAGAAATAAGAACTGTTTGCTTTTTTCCCTATTAACTGTCTTTCATTAGTTTAATTTACAGGCCTATAGCCATTGAACCTAAGAAGGCAGAGGACAGTTTCATACCATAAAATTTGATGTATATAACATTATCAAAACAATAAAACTATAGAAATGAAGAACACGTTAGTGGTTGCTAGAGACAGGAAAGGGACATGGAAGAAAAAGAAGAATATAAATAAGCAGTATGAATAAATTCTTTTATGATGATAAAAGAGTTCTGCAGGCTGACTGTGGTGCTGGTTACACACATCAATGTTGCTGCTGTTTAGTCACTAAGTTGTGTCTGACTCTTTGTGACCCCATGGACTATAGCCCACCAGGCTCCTCTGTCATGGGATTTGCCAGGCAAGAATACTGGAGTGGGTTGCTATTTCCTTCTCCAGGGGGTCTTCCCGACCCAGGGATTGAACCCGTGTTTTCTGCACTGGCAGGTGGATTCTTTACCACTGAGCCACCAGGAAGATAAAATTGCAAAGAAACTACATATATACAAACACAGATTTTTTTTAAATGGTGAAAACTATAGTCTAGTTAATATTAATGAAACAATGTAATTTTCCTGGTTTTGATAATGTACTACTACTATATAAGATTCTTTTAAGGAAAACTGAATGAAGAGTACATAGGACTCTATAAACTATATTTCCCTTGCACTATTTTTTAAACTATTTAAGAATGAAATATAACCTTAAAATATGTATTTTCCCATTAGTTCTTTACTTAAATTATACCACTTTTTAGATAGCCAGGAAAATATCTTCAAAATCTTTTAATAGCTTTAGTCTATCCTCCTGGTCAAGTTTCTAATGAAGAACGACAGAAAATAATCAAACATGAAAAACTTTATCTATAAAAATTTTCATCAATATCAAAAAATTAGAAACAACCTAAATAGCCAACAATTGGAAATAAATGAAGAAATCATGTCATAACCACACCAGTGGGCGTCTATAAGGTCATTAAAAATCATGTAGTAGAATAGTTATTTAATGGTATAAAAAATTGTCTGCATATATTATCAAATTTAAATAAAGTATCACTGCATGGTGTGGTTTTGTTTAAGACAATTATATTTATACATATGGAAAGAAGAATACATACAAGAAAAATTTTATGGGCAAAGTAGACATTTGCTCAAACAAGATATATGTATCATCAAAAAAGATATACGAATCAGCAATAAGCACATAAAAAGATGCTGAACATGATTAGGTATTAGGGAAATACAAACCAAAACAACACGGAGATACTACTTTAATCCCGTTAAGACAGGCAATAACAAAACAAGGATGTGGAGAAATTGGAACCTTTATCCATTACTAGTGGGAGGGTAATGAAGCCTTTATCTCTCACTCAAGGAAAATGTACACAGCTAAAAACAGATTTATATTCGTATTTCCTTGTTTTACAAAGACTACCTCAATTCTTAGTCCTAGATCACCACAAAATTGGTTGTCCTACTCTCTCATTTACAACTCACTAATTAGGAATATTCCATAGGTAAGATCCAAAAAGCTCTACTCAGTATATACAAGCTAATCATTTCATGACTCATTTGATTTTCTAAGTATCTATTTTTCTATCCTTTCCATCTGCTCACCAATTTTCTCTCAAATATGTCTAAAATAAACTCAACAATACAACAAATATGAGCTGGAAGGATCTCCTGTTAAGGCCTGCTAGCTGGCCTTATCCTGATAACATTACTTCAGTGCCAAATATCTTTCTTTATTGTATGCAAAGGAAAAGAATCAAGCTAGTGTGATCAATTTCTCTGTGAAGAAGGGTCTCATAAATGAGCTTATACACACATTTTTACGAAATTAGATTGTCTTTCCATGAGTCCCTAAATTCAGTTAGCTACTTGAACCCAGACTAATTAATCTTAAACCAAAATATCAGACTATTTCAACTAATGGATAAAAACAGAAGCCCATACAGATCACCTCAGACATCCAAAACTGAAAGCAGTATAAAGAAACACAAACTTGGGAATTCCCTGCTGGTCCAGTGGTTAGGATATGGCACTTTCACTGTGGTGGCCCAGGTTCAGTCCCTGGTCGGGGAATTAAGGTCCCACAAGCCACACACAGTAGCCAAAATAAATAAATAAATAAATAAATAAAGTCCACAAATTAGGAATTAGGAAATTTATAACAATTAAATTGCTTTGGGAAATGCAAAAAGTCACAATTCCTTTTTTTACACAAATAAAAAAAAATGAGATCCTTAACTTAGGGATCTCTAATGACCAGGGTAAGAACACTACCACTATACTGAAATAAAGGTACACAGGATCACCAGATTAATGATTTCATTTGTTCTTAAGTAAAATCTAACATGCACATACAATTTTTGTCAGCAGCCAACTGTCATACATACACTTCAAAGATAGTAAGTCATTCAATTTGCTGGCATTAAAGATAAGTAGAGTTGAGGCTGGATACTTGGGCTGTGAAAGTTCTTGTAGGTTAAAATAGCGAACCAAGACTTCTTATAATAAGCAATAAAGAGTTGTAAAAAAGTTGTGGAGCAAAGAAGTGACAACATACATTAGAAAGACATAGTAACTCAAAATGGAAAACCTGATCAATGAAGTTAAACCATAATTCTAAATTCTACATAGATCATACTAATTTTAGTGTCTTACCAGGGCACTAAGAAGCTCAATTCTCTTGATGTTCAAAATGTACACAGAAAATTTTAGATACTAAACAATGTTCTTTTGCTCATTTAAAGTACAATCTTAATAAAACAGTAAGTGCAAAGGAAATAGGAGTTTTATTTACAAACTCAGAAAATTACTTGTACTTGTTACTTTCAAATTTTACTCAAGAATTCTTCATTGAAAATGGTAAAAGGTAAGCTGTGGTTACCACATTCATCAAGAAAAGGTACTGGAGTAGTTAAATATGGCAAAAGTTTAAAGAAAAGAAAAAGAAAACATTTCAGATGGTTTGATATAAATCAAATTACTCAGTTATTACTTACCAGTAAGATTTCTCCATGGAAAGAAGCAGAAAACCCATTACTTTTGCAAAAGATATAAAATGCCATTTGAAAAGTCTCAGAAATGAAAACATATGAACTCATTTTTAATCATTCTGGGAAAACTTTTTTTAATTGTACAACCATTTTACCAGAAGCAACCTTAGATAATATACTCTATTGTTAACTCTAACCTTATTACACCCTTTACAAAAAGTTTTAAGAAGGTTTTTTAAAAGGTCTGATTTTCTTCATATTTTTTAAGCCCCAGAAGTATTATTACTAAGAATTCGAGCTATTTCTTCTATACTTGCTTGAAAACATAAACCAAACATACTTACTGTTGGTTTTTTTCATTTAGGGTATTCATGCCCTGGAGATCAGAAAGAGGTGTTCTGGGGTTTTTCCGAGTTATACCTAGTGGACAGAAAGCAAAAATTTTCAATCAGTGCTACCAGAGACTAAAGACAAAGAGCTTTTCTAAGAGCGAATGAAATTAATACACTTAAATAGCAAATATTGCTAAACATATCAGAAACATCTACACCTGATCTTAGCCAAAAGGCTGAGAAGTGATATCAGAAACATCTAAATAAAAATATGAACCAAGTCCCATGACTGTTACTTATAAATCTTAGTCAACAATGAAACCAATTAGGGAATTTAATAATAAATTCTTTAAATTCTTCTCTCATTTAAATATTTTTAGGAAATCCAAGGGTAACTGGGCTGAAGGCCTAGAAGTGTACAAGTTCTTTTCTTATTTTAATATTCAATATTAAATATTTAATTATTTAGTGTTCAAAAAAATTCTTATTTGCATCACTTTTCAGCAATAGTATATTGCTGACACGAACTGTAGATTTTAGAAATCAATTAATCTTATAAAGACACTGAGAATCAAAGACGATGAACTGCTTCCTCAGAAATAACAATATTTTTTAAACAAAAACTCTAATTAAAAAATAAGCAGAAGATTTGAATACACACTTTTTCCAAAGAAGATGCACAGATGGCTCACAAGCACACAAAATGATGCTCAACTTCATTAATCACCAGGGAAATGCAAATCAAAACCAAAATGAGATATCACTTCACACCAGTCAGAAAGGCCATCATTAAAAAACACAAATAAGTGCTGGCAAGGATGTGGAGAAAGGAAGGGCTCATACACTACTGATGGGGATATAAATTGGTGCAGCCACTGTGAAAACAGTATGGAGGTTTCTCAAAAAACTAAAATGGAACTACCATTATGATCGAGCAATTCCACTCCTGGATACACGTCTGGAAAAAATGAAAATGCTAATTTGAAAAGACACATACACTCCAACTTTCACAGAGCCCTGTTTATAACAGCTAAGTAATGGAAGCAACCCATGTGCCCATCAGCCAACAACTGGCATAAGAAGATGTGGTGTATGTGTATGTACACACACACACCCCCTTGGCATATTACTCAGATACTAAAATAAAATACTGCCATTTGCAACAGTTGGAGGGACCTAGAAAATATTATGCTTAGTGAAGTAAGTCAGACAGAGAAAGACAAATACTGTATATGACTTATATGTAGAATCTAAAAAAAATACAAATGAGTTTATATGCAAAACAGCAACAGACTCACAGATACAGCAACTTGTAGTTACCAAAGAGGAGAGGGAAGATGGAAGGGACGCAATAGGGACACAGGGTTAAGAGACAGACGTTACTATATATAAAACAGTAAAAGTATTTCTACTTGAGATAAAAATCTTGTATGTGGAAAATACTAAGAAATTCACAAAACAACATTAGGACTATTATTAAATAAGTTCAGCAAAATTACAAGATATAAGATCACTATTCAAAAATCCACTTTGTTTCTATACAATCACAACAAACAATTGGAAATGAAGTTAAGAAAACAATTCTATTAATAATAGCATTAAAATAATATAAAAGGAATAAGTTGGAACAAAAAAGTATAAAATATCTACTGAAAAACTACAAAGTATTTTAAAAAATAATTTAAAAAGGACACCTAAATAAATGGAAAGCCATCTGTGCTCATGGACTGGAAAACTTAATACTGTTTTAAGATCGCAACTTCCTGAATTCATTTACATATCAATGCAACCTCTATTAAAATTCCAGCTGTTTTTTTTTTTTTACTAAAATGAATAAGTTGCCCTAAAATTGATATGGAAATGCAAATGGCCCAGAATAGCAAAACTAATGTTGAAAAAAGAGAACACAGTTGGAGGATTCATACTTTCTGAATGCAAAACTTACTATAAACATATAGTAACTGAGACAATATGGTACCAGTATAAAGATAGACAAATAGATCAATGGAAAGGAACAGAGAGTATAGAAATAAACCTTTACATTTATGATCAAATAAAATTTGACAAAGGTGCCAAGACAATTCAATGAGAAAGGAATAACCTTTCAACAAAAACTGAGAAAACTAGATAACCACATGGAAAAGAATGAAGTTGGTGATCCAGTGGTTAAGACTTTGCCTTCCAATGCAGAAGGCAGGGGTTTGATCCCTTGTGGGGAAGCTAAGATCCCACATGCTGCATGGCAAAAAATTCAAAACATAAACAACAGAAGCAATATTGTAACAAAGACTTTTAAAACGGTCCACATCCAAAAAAAAAAAAAAACACACAAGAATGAACTTGGATCAAAGACCAAAATATAAATGGTAAAAGTCCGAAGCTCTTAAAATGTGGGAGTAAACATTTCCGACCTTGGATTAGGCAGTAGTTATATAGCTATGACATCAAAAGAATGAGCAACCAGAGAGAAAAACTGATAAACATAAATCCATGGCTGATTCATGTCAATGTATGACAAAAACCACTACAATATTGTAAAGTAATTAGCCTCCAACTAATAAAAATAAATGGAAAAAAAAAGAAATTATCAAAATCTACAACTTTGGGGTTTCAAAGGATTCTACAGCAAGAAAGTGAAAAGGCAATCCATAGACGGTAGAAAATGGCAAATCAAATATCTGATGAGAAACTTGAATCTAGAATATTAAAAGAACTTTCGCAACTGAATATTATTAAGACAACCCAATTTTAAAAAGAACAAAGGATATGAATAGGTATTTATCCAAAGATGACAAGTAAACGGCTAATAAGTGCATAAAAAGATGCTCAACATCATTAGTCACCAGAGAAAAGAAATTAAAACCAAGAGATTGTACTTCACATCCCCTGTGCATGTGTGCATGCTAAGTAAGTCACTTCAGTCATGTCCGACTCTTTGCAACCCCGTGGACTATAGCCCACCAGGCTCCACTGGCCATAGGATTTTCTAGACAAGAATACTGGAGTGAGTTGCTATTTCCTTCTCCATCACACCCACAGCATGACTATAATAAAAACGACAGATAAATGTTGGCAAGGACATGTAAAAACTGAAACCTTGCATATACTCATGTGCATGTGCTGCATGCTCAATCATCTGACTCTTTGTGACCCCCACGGACTGTAGCCCACCAGGCTCCTCTGTCCATGGGATTCTCCAGGCAAGACAACTGGAGTGGGTTGCCATTTCCTCTTCCAGGGGATCTTCCCGACCCCCGGGATCGAACGCACACCTCCCACGTCTCCTGCCCTGACAGGTGGACTCTGCCACTGCACCACCTGGGAAGTCCTTCATGCAGACGCTGCTGAATGTGAAATGACACAGTTACTTTGGAAAACAGCTAGCAGTTCAAGAAAAAATTAAACAGAGACTACTAAGCATATACCCAGGAGAACTGAAGACATAACATCTATACCCATATAAAAACTGTTACTGGAAAACATATGTCTTGGGATCAAGAAATTCAGTTAGAACTTTGAACAAATTTATTTTCTTACATATTTGAATGCATTGATTTCATTTCACTTATTCAGTTCCTAAGTCATGGATAGCAATTATCCTTAGAACAAATGATCATTTTCTATTCTCCACACCCATCCTTCTCTCCTGCACATTGACAAAGAGTCATCTCAGGCCTTTCCTTAATACTACTAATGCAGTTTTCAGTTACGTTTCCTCTATTTATTGAGATCACATAGGTGTTGATTTATGCCTCTGCTTTTAGCTCAAAACCTGTTTCAACATCATTCTGATTATTTCATAGTCTTAAATTTGTGCTACTGCTTTACTGGATTCGTGTTCTTAAATTCTTCTTAAACTGTAAACTGCTCATAGGGAATTTTCTTCCCTTTTTTGGAGTATCTTCCTTGTAACGCAATAGGGTGTTTCTTTTGTGCACGTTTCTTTTATGATATCATTTAAACTTTTTGAAAAACCCACTGTGAGACTCTAACTGGTGATGTAAATCTATTCATACTTTTATTAATTTTAAATTATAGTACTTATTTCTCATATTTTGTTTCATATTTATTTCACTCATTTTTTTTTCCCTGATAGATGAAGGTTTCTTATGCAACTTTAAACGATAAAGATTCAGGGAAATCCGTGATGGTCCAGTAGTTAGGACTTTGCGTTTTTGCTGTGGAAGGCAAGGATTCAACCCCTGATCAGGGAACTAAGGTTCCATGAACAGTGCAGAGTGCCCCACTTCCCCCACAAAAATTCAATTTTTGTTATTACTGTGGTTGTCTGTAAGGCAGACCTTCATGTTTGTTTACCCATATAGATTTCCAAAATTTGATAAATAGCCATATTCTACCAACTCAATAAAAACAGCTCCCTGACATTCCTCCAGGCTTACCTTGTACGTGTTTCTGCAGATCCATTTTCAAACAGAAATTCTAGTCATATTACATTTTTAGACTATTTTAAACTATGTTAGTGCAAGTCTCTGTATAGGGCAATAGCCAAAGGGCTTTGGCATTCATTATCACATTTGAGTCTCGCATTGCCCCTGTGCAGAGGGACTACCTTTCAGAGAAGGAAACTGAAGCTCTGAGAAACCCTTTCCACACACAGTAACACAAGGGCTAAGTGGCAGAGCCAGAATGTGGGCCTAGACCTGCCCAACTCCAAATGCCAGGCTGTTTCTCATCTCTCTTTTGAGAGTAATGTGAAGGTCCCCGTGTCATAATCTATGTGCCCTGCCACAAACCTCAGGTCTTCCAAGAACTGGAGCCTTCCTCAATAATAGGCAAGCAGGCTGCTGGTTCTCACTCTGACCTGGAGGAAGCCCTTATGAATAAGGTGCAGACATTTCCAGGGGTTTCTATTTTTAATATTCTTAATTCCATGAAAAATAGTCTCTTCTACATATCTGTAATTTATGTCAGGCTTCATGATAAGCAATTAATTTTTTAAATTGTGGCAAAATTTATACACTGTAAAACATATTCATTGTAAGCATATAGTTGGTCAAGTACAGGAAAAAGTGCCGCCAAAGAAGACACACTGAGTGACTAACGAAGCTGCCATCTTTAAAGAGCCCG